ATAGTGTAGTACCTACCTACAACTTACCCTCGTCAACTTCTCACCACCCTGGTAACTATAGTCATTCAATGGAAAACTCTAAACTTTGAATATTTATAAGTTACAACTAATTAACTGCTAGTTTTAAATTCTATTTTTATACACTGAAATTGTCAAAACAAATTTCAGTTTCGGAATAATATTATAAGTTATTAAAATCAAAAATAATTAATGACATTAAATAGAAAAAATAGAATTTTTTTCAAAATGCGGGTTCGTAACGATTTTGTAAACTAATTGTTTAAACAAAATTTCCAAAAACTGTTGAGGTTTCCCAGAAAATTAGAGTTTATATATGTACCGTTGTAAGAACCCCATTGTATATACCTACTTCTACCTCGGAAAATTGCCAAAATAAATAATATCGCAAACTAGAGGTAAGAGAATAATCAAGACTCTCTGCATAATTAACCAACCAAAAATTGTATTTTCAGAAGAAAATTCCAAAGAAAAGGTTGGTATAATTATTAATATTTAATTAACAATTTAATATTTTATTAAAAATAATTAATATTATTACATTTTAAACATTGCATTAAATTTTATGAAAATGAGGATAATTCAAGTAACCGAGGACGAAAAATTGAATCAACAGTATTAGCCAACGCGATTGCGTAATTCCTCAATTTATGTTTCTCACGAACAACATTCGAGTGGCTTCGACATGTAATGAGTTATTTAAAGATGAAAATTAATCTGAGATACAAACAAAGAAATTGATGATGCGAAAAACTCTGTGAATACGTATGACGACTATAATAGAGACATACACGAAGGTGAAAATAAGGACGAAGTAGATTAAATTTCATGATTCGGGTAGTTGCCGAAAAGTTTACATTTGGCGAGATATTGAAAAATTGTTATTTATGATATTATTGATATTAATGTTCATTTATTATTTTTTTAAGAACAATTACATAAATATTTTTCGTATGCATTAGGTACATAATTTTCAACAATACCGCAGCGATTATATGGTCACGGATTTGCTTACTCTCTTCCTCTCGACAGGTGGCTTCAGAACAACAGACTTTAGGATCTCAGTGGTTATTGGGATCCTCCCATACATTTTCTCAACTTTCGCTGTCGAGGAAGAAATTGATTTTTCTGAATCCGATTTTTTCGAAGTATTCTGAGACAACGGCGCCGGGGGTGCGGGTGGCGGTGGTTGACAAAATGCACTAGTCGACGGGGGTGCAGGTGGCGGCGGAGGCACAAATGCACTTGGCGCCGAGGGTGCAGGTGGCGATGGAGGCGAAACTGTTCCACTCGGCCCGGGTTTTGCCATTGGTGGCATATCATAATAAGATGAAGCTGCAGCGAATGCAGCTGGTTCGCCGTATCACTGAACCAAATAACACNAGGAAACATTCCAGCGGACCCGAAGGATTGTGGTCTAGTCCACTCCAACGAACGATGTGAATAGTTCATTCCGACGATGTGTGATGTGTTTTTCATTACATCTCCTGCACACGTACATATCGTACACATAAAAAAAAAATTGTAAAGTAGGAACTATAAAATTGATTCATGAGTATACATCAAAATAACATAGACAATACCTATATACTTTCTAGGGTTGCAATCCTGATCTTAATATCATTATATTTGCGCATCGGCTTCTCTGAGTTACCTTTATACAAACAAACATCATAAATCATAATATATAATATATGATAATGACATACGTGTTTTAGATAAAAATTACTAATTACTTTCTAATGAAATCAATTTATTTTCCATCTCGTGGAAACTGGTATTCAACATTCCGTAACAGTGTTTGATACTTATAACGTCACAACCGATGGTCATGAATTCATCGTCAATTTTTTCCATCAACGATTGTTAGTAATTTGACAATTTGGTATCTACCTTGTTGTTTAAGTCTTGCACTGTGGATAGGGACAATTCACTCTCGGTCTGAGTGTGTGCAGATTGTGTCAACTTCGATAACATAAGATCTTCAAGTCGACGCAACTGCAGAATGCGAAATAAAATAATTCTTTACTTAGGTTAATTAAATTTGAATTCAGTGACATAAATGCATTGTATACGAAATACGATTCTGAAATAACACGGTCTCTGACGGCCTATAATACAACTAAGTATGTATATTTTGTAATATTGTGATTGAAGTAATTTTACTGTATAATAATAGGCATTATACTATAAAAGTACTAAAGTAGATTAAATTCATTTTTGTCTAAAAAATTTAATTCTAAAATGTCATTAGGTATATAAAATAAAAAATATGCCAATTTTAAGTTTCAAGTACCCACGAATAATATTTTTAAATTACAATCTACAACAAAATAACTAAACAATATTTATACCAAAGTAAGCCAAATTTGTATTTATGATTTATATTTACTGAACAATGTCAAACAATAATGTATCGTTACCTATTTTTTTTAGTTTTTATGAAATAGGTTTGGTAGGGTAGGCGTTTGGGGGTATGGTGGCGAGCCCCTACGGATCTGCGTCCTCTGCATAATTTTAGCACCCCCAGTGTTTGGTCAATAGTTGCATCTATGACGTACGCTCGGAGTGTTGCCGCAGATTGAGCGAACGGCCGCGCCTCACCAGGCCACTATATCAGTCTTTTATAATCGGCTTACGCCGCTTAAACTTTAATTTATAACTGGCACAAATGTTGGTCTCAAAAAATATGCTGTTAGAATTTGTTTAGGTTTTTTTCTGACTTCCACTTTGTACATTCAATTTTTAAATTCTCTTTAATAGATTGTATATTCGTAAAAATTCTTTGGAATTACGTTCGTACGAAGTGGACGCCTGTTACCGGTACGACGGACTTAGCTCGCAGATGGCAGAGTTCCAGTGACTTCTGCAGAACCTAATGGCTGCTCGCCTGGCGTGCTGCTATTAAAGTCCGTCAATGTCTACAGTCCGAACCTGGGTCCGATTACTCGGTGGCGTCAACGACGTGGAGTAACATACAAATCTATTAGAATTTATTATTTGAATGACCATCTGTGTTAATGTTTATTCCGTTTAATGACTCATCATTATTGTTTCAGTTATTTTCAATCATAAATCTTTAAAACAACCAATCGCGATTACAACTTGGGACTTGGTGCCATATTATGTAACTGGTCTCAAAACAATTTTCGTTACATATTTGTCCTAGTAATTTTACCGACCACTGCTTTGTACTTTCAATTTTTAAATTCTTAGGAACTACATTACTGATTGAATATTTGTGAGGGATGCTTATTATTTTCTGAACCTTCGTCCATGACATATCGTGTCAATATAAAATTCTTACACACAATCCTTGGCACTTAGATTTCCCTAATATCCTCTCGTAAATCGATGATTTTTATTTATTGAGATACTATGGATACTTAATGAAATATACTTCAAATCGTTATAAAATTATCGTTCTAATATTTAGTATACCACGTAGGGAGCCATGTAGGGCATACTCATAATAAGAGATTTCTAAAGATTATTAAATTACCCGAAATAGCAAATAGGAGATAATAATAATTATAATATGGGTATTTCCATCCATTCTGAAGTAAAAAATACTAAAAATATATTTTGATTAATATTATAGATAGGTAATATGAAAGTTACTTGTAGATCTTGAATCTTTTGTTTTTCATCACTGCGTTGAATCATTTCTACATAATAATGATTATTTTAGATACAATGTATATCCGAGATACATATTTGTTTAATATTCGAAAATATTAATATTATATAGGTGTCATATTAATATGAAACAACTACCTTCCAACTCAGTCAATCTATTTTCCAATTGCAGATTTATTTTTATCACTTTTTGAAACTGTCCAATGTCAATACTACCGGATACAGCTGCTGGGTTTAAATTGACTCGAACACTTGCGTTGATAGATTTCTCACTCACGCTTACCTAAAGCATAAAAATAAATAATAATCACATATTATTTTATAGTACCAACGACCTACATCGAATAGATGCATCGTTCGACCCTATATTATTATTATTAAAAAATTTTACCAATTTCTTTGGCATGTTCTTCCGTTCGTCATGAAACGATTCAATCAGATGTCTCATGTTTAAAAATGCTAACATCCCGACAACACTAACACGTACAACTTCTATGATTAAACGATTAAACTCATAAGTCATAATATTCGCAATGCAAATGCTTATAGTCAGAACTGAATACAATAACACTCGAGTAAACTAAATTGCATAATTACACATTGTGTACAGGTATAGTATACGTTGTTAAGTTTTCTTATTCAAGCCAGGAGACAAATAGTATAATTATTTTTAATCTCCCATGCGGTATGAGGAACGTGGTATAACATTTTCAAGACTTTTGATCCAACGAATTTTTTAATCGACATTAATTTTTAAAAAAATAATAAAAATCTAAAATTGTATATACCTATAGTAGTATAACTTGTTCAACATAATCATTGAATATAATGAGTCAAAATATTTTGAGTTTTCTGATTTAAATCTATTATGCCTATAAATAGCGCATAATTCAAAAATTGTGTGATACATAGATATTACTAATATAATTCAGTGAAAATTGTATGTACGTACTTTTTACGGGGTTTTTTTTTAGAGTTCCACTAGAAATAAAATTGATTTCAATTTTTCCGAACTATAAAACTTATACTCGTAGGTCCTTGGTTTTTCCTGACACCTTAAAAACTATTAGGAACTTTTTACTTGTGACGCTCCAGTGTACCTATTAGAATCATTTTCCTAATTTTCATTTCGAGTCTGCGGCGCCCATGCCCCCCTTCAAATTTTTTTTCTATAATTTAACCCTAGTTCAATTTTTCAAAAACATTTTTTAATTTTTGATAAACATATACTGCATTATACAAATTCATTATTTCATGATCTAACTATTGTAAATAAAGCTATGAGTAATACACTAAACCATATTTTATGTCAAAACTAATGAATAAATACTGAAAACCTCACAATAACTCCTCATACCGTCAACTCTCATTATTTCTTAATTAACATTTTTTATATTTTTTGATACTTTAGAATTTTTAAGGAATTCATCGATGTCAGCAGATCTCATTTTTCAATGAAAGTTTTAATATTAGAGTGATTACTATTATTTAGAATCAACGAAGATGAATGATAACTGCTTAAATAAAATTTGATATGTTTCATACTTGTAAGACTCATTTTAACTTATTGGAGACCACGCATTCAGGTGAAACGCGTCTTTCTCAAAGCAACGTCTTTTTATTAATTATTTAAGTTTCATATGTTTTGTAAACATTCTAGGAAGATGTCTAGATTTGAAGCAACTGAATAAGAATTGAAATAATTTTATTTTGAAATTCTTTGAGCGTTATCTATCTGGATGATAAACTTTCTCCCCGTCAACTGCCATAACCGACTAAAATAATCGTAATTTTCAGCGATTATATTCAATCTATTTGTTAAATTAATATAAACAATTTGGATTTTTTTTTTTGTAGGGGTCACGGTTGTGTTTGAGTAACAAGTGCATATGTGGAGCTAGGATTCGTCGCTAAACACCCAGATGGTTACCCATCCGGATACTAGCTACGCCGGCCGATGATTGACACCCATTAGGGACTTCAGCCAATCACAGCACCACACCAAGCCCCAACTGTATTTTTATTATTTTGTATTAGTTATTAATACATATTATTATTTATATTATTATATTTCCTATTGCTACGTCAGGTATTGGCTTACGAATAGTGTTTCAACCATGCCAAAGGAAAATGACATACAGATACTTTAACATACATTATTACACAGGTAAAAAGAGTATCCGTACCAACATCTATTATACACCAATTTCAATTTTCAGGTTTATTTTTTTAACCTTATACATATTTAGTTAAATACATAAATATTACAATTAGTTGCTTCTAATCTTGTAACACAATTTTTATAGGGCCTAATCACAGTTTTTCTCTGATCTCAACAAATTACTATAGGACTAGTTATTTCATTTAATTTCTTAGAATAATGAATAAATAGAATGTTATCATTCATCTAAGTTAAACAATGTGCTGTGATTAATTTATTATTAGGTATCTAAAATCTTTTAAATTTTATTAAACATGTTACATGTTTATCGAACATGTTTTGATATTATTTGTTATATATCATTATTTTTTATTTTTGACAAACGTTTTTTTAATAAAATATCATTTCAATATACTAATTTTGTCTAATTTCTATTTGAAAGACAAATTTATAAAAATTATGACAAGGATAAAAATTGCCTAATTATTATGAATAAAGTGTAACGAGGGTCACAAAATAAAAAAAATTGTTGTTAAAGTAAATTTTATAAGGCGTGATAAATTTAATGTAAGACAATATCATTATTTAATTATTTTTTTTTATATTCTAAAGCAAAATATTTTTTGGAATACTTATGGAGATATAGACTATAGTAATCAAATTTCGGACAAGTATAGTTCATTTGTTATACGATGGTATTTAAAATTATATGAACGGAGTAGTGGAAAAACATTTTCCCATTAGCAGTACATCACCCGCTCATAAAAACTAAAAATGCATAATATAAGAAATATATTACTATAACCTTCTATCATACTTAAGTATTTAATATTCCAATCATAGTTCATGTCAACTGTCAAAATTCTACAGATTTTCGACTTGATAACTTTAGACTTTCGACTTGATTTTTAATTTTAGAATTATTATAAATTATAATATATTGTAGTTTATATATATTTTTTTAATATTAATAGTAACAACATTCTACATTGGTTTGGTTCTGACACGAGGGTAAAAGAGATCAAAAAACGATGGTTTGACATTACGTCTTTTCTTACTTTTTTTGTTCAACTTGATGACACTATTGAGAGGATGTCTACGCACTATTTGTTTACTTTTTATGTCCTACGCGCAACAAAGCAAGTTTATGTTTAGCAGAACCAACCATTATTAAAGTAACAATATATGGTTGGTTCTGATACATTAATTGCTTTGTTGTGCGTGGGATACAGGGAGCAAACAAAAAGTGCTCTGAAATCCTCTACCAATCTTTTTATTCTATCCCATAAGTCAAGGTTTTCAACCTATCACAAGGTAGTTTTTCAGCTGATAGGTCTAGTGGCCTTTGCAATTCAAGAACCTTTCCTAAGTATTCGACATTGTTAACCTAACTATTCTACCTCTACACTTCCTATTCTCCCTCCCAACAAGTCTCACTCTCTCTCCCTTCTCCCTCCCCTCCAACCACCTTTTCTCACTCAGTCTTTCTCCTTCACAATTCTCTCCTTCTCTCTCTCTCTACTCTCCCCTTTTTTCCATTTCACTACCTCTCTTTCTCTCTCTCACACACAGTCTCTATAGTGCCTACAAGTCATCGTACCTGATAATCAGTGAAAATATTTAAATATTACGAAAAAAATTTAAAACAAAAAATAAAATAAATTTCATACCTGACCAATTTCTCCTTTATTCATTACGAAATTTTGGTTTCTCAGTTATAACTGTAGTCTTTCGGTTCTTTCCCACGCGAAACAATTTTTTGCTATCTTACATTTGTAAGACGGTGACAACCTATGAGGATATGGGGTCTTCTAAAAAATGTTAAAAATTCCAGAACTTAACCATTGTTGTTCCGTGAAGTTGGCCGCTTAAAGTAAATAATTTTGTTCCAAATTTGTAAGTTATTTGTAAGTTTATGTAATCACAATTGGGACTTTGTAAGTTCAGCCGTTTTCAATTATCCACAAAAGCTTAAATCACGGCTAACTTCTGCGAAACTTGGCCGTTCTATCATTTCAAAATATTCGAACGAGCCAAAATGTCCTGAGCAATTTGTTAGTATTTGCAAGCACGGATATAAAATGTGTAAGTCAATCCTCCCTTAATTATCCCTATAAAGAATTTGGCCATGCTTTATCGAGCTTTTTCAACTTTGTGCCTAAATATCATGTGAAATTCGTATGTATTTGTCAGCAAGAATTTAAAATTTCTAAGTCATCTCTCCCTTAATTATCCCTCAAAAGAAGTAAGCCAAACTTTATCCAATTTTTTCAACATATTTATTCTTGCTTACAAATTGCAAGTAAGGGTATTTAACGCTCGTTATAGTTTCGACTGTCAAGATAAAAAAAGGGTAAACACAACAGCAAATACAACACATTTTTTTAAATTTGTGTTAATTTCAAATTTCGAAGTATTTATTAGGCACAAAAATATAATACATAATGATTGTATTAGTATTTACTAATAAGTTATTATAATTGTTAAAATATATATATAAATAACAACAAAATCACATAAACAAAATGTACAACATAGATTTTATATTCGTTTTTATGTTACATTCAATTATTATTAACTATTGCTAATGAGTAATGAGTAACGAAACATTGAATTCATCATAATAGGTATATGAATATTTACGTTTATATTTAAAAGTTATTGAGTTTACACAACTGACTAGAAGATTATATATGACTTAGAGTTATAAGTTTTGACATATAAATAATATAATACAACGTTCATTATTCACAACAAATAATCACATTTAAACAAAATCAAACAATGGATATTACTAACTAAATAAATACAAGAAAAATAAAATGCTAAACAAAACCATAAATAATAGATCAAAAACAAGAATCAGTCTTTAAAACACGAAATGACACTGGTAAGAGGTAAATAAAATGAAAAAATAAAAATAAAAATAGCCTAACACAGTTCAGTAATACACGCATATTTATATTTAATATATACAGTGGTGTAGTTATGAATTAATTCTGGAGGGGATGGATAATTCGTTACGTAACTTAATTCCTTTATTTTATAGTTAAGCCTTTCAAATTTCAACAAAATGTATTATACTTATGTTTTGGTTTGAATATTTAAAAAATAAAAATAAGATAAAGGGCACTTGGGCACTTTTGAGTTGTGATCATCCATATCATAAATACCTTAACACATAAGTATACTACAGTAGGTACGTTATATTATAATTTAAAATAAAGGCTCTAAAGGGATCATATACTCATCATCGCTCCCCAACCAAAACTACGCCACTGTGAGTATAAATTAATTGATTTATAGCAAGGGATTTTTTTAACAGTGAACATAGTATTTTAGTAAGTTAATGTATTTTGTACAACTTCCAATATTGCAATGAAACAATTATAGTTGAAATATGATAATAACTATATAAAAAATTATTGAGAAAAATTGTATGTTTTTATTCAAAACTTTTTTTTAGTAATTATTTTGTATTACATCCAAGTATTTTCATAACACTTTTCATAACAAACATTTAAAACAAAACCACCAAATAAAATAGTTAAAATGTCCTCAATAATTTGCATTCAAGGTTATGATACCTTAATGTAAACTGTGTGAACACATGCTAGAAAATACAAATAGCGGTTTTCCTTGTACTCCCAAATCTTAAGTTGATCATTGTAATATAGACACCTATTTTTAATGTTGCATCCCTGTAAGAGGAATACATTTTGGTATTCTCTTAACATTTCTACTATTGTCATAATCCACACTATTATTGAACCCTCATATTACATATTTAGGAATTTAACTGAGGTCTGTTTATGTTCTCTACTTACTGCATTGATAAAATTATATCTATGGTTTAAATGTATACAGAATTGTCAACTACAAAATGCTCTATGTATACTTTAGATCATATACTATGGATGGAGCCATGCCCCAATAATTTGATGGACATATAACGGTTGAGTCTCTAACATTGATGCTTGATGTGGGCATGTGTGAGGCAAGTCCTTGAGTATACATATAACTGTGGGTTGCTGATTAATATTAAATATCTTCTAGCATATTTTTAAAAATACAAATTTAATACTGTTATTTTATATATTTCAAAAAATTTAAGAATGGATAGAACATTACTGTGACCCAACCAAAATGATCCCACGTAACCCCCACTCAAGGACAACAACTTGTTAATTTTTGGTACATTTGCCAACGTCTGATGCTATGATATATAAATATACAATCTATACCCCCGCAGCACAAAGTGAAGGAAACGGGATCTCGAACTGGTTACAGATGTCAGTCTGAATGCACAAAATGGTAATGATCTCTCCTTTCTCTGAGTGTAATTTTTTTGAAATATATAAAATAACAGTATTAAATTTGTATTTTTAAGTATATTTTTTGAGTACAATATCAAGCATCAATGTCAGAGACTTGTAGCTTATATTATGTGCTTTAAATTATTTATAGCTTGAAAACAATTTAAAAATTGTAAATTGTTTGTACAACTTAAAATACTCATAACTCTCTTTAAAATTAAAATATAATAAAAAGCCCACGAGAAGCCTTCCGTAATAATCTTACCTTTAATTTTAATAAGAAGTCAATTGACTCTAATTTTTAAGCTAACTTAGCTAAACGTGATCTGCTGAATGTAAAATTTGAATTGTTACGCTCTTGTAAGATGGAGGCAACACATGTGGGTATAGAGTCATCTTAAAAAGTAAGTGAAATAATGAAATTAAGAATACTGGTGGTATAGGGGTCTTGTAAAGGTAAGACAAATAGGTTTTATATTTTATTATTATTTGACTTTGTAATTAACTTTCAAAATAAAAATAAAATTTGTAAATTTAAATTATACTTAAATTGTTTTGAGGCGATATCTAAACAAAATAATATCATTCCTTCAATAATATTATTCTAAGATCTTATTCTTATTCTTCTACGATCTCTTATTTTACTATAGGATTATTATTTAAAAAAAAAAAATAATTAAATGTGTAATTTTGTTTATGTTGAGCATGTGCCAGAGACACAACAGTGAGCTGACAACCTCTAAAATATACCAAATTATTTTTATACATATATATTGTTTATTATGTATTGAATGTTGAATGGTTCTATTTTTAGTCATTAGTGGTATGTGACAAAAAATAATTCACATGAGTGGAACACAAAAAAGAAAGTTTGAGAATCTCTGATATACCACATGAGTGGTACACAAAAAAGAAAGTTTGAGAAGCTCTGATATACAAATTATAAAATTGTTTCTTTGTACATAACACAAAAATTATGTTCACTGTTATGGCGCAACATTGAACTAGCTTGGTATGCTATAGCACACCCTTGCCAGTCCACCCGTATTAACTATATATATGTTAAAATATAATATTATTATAAACTTACTTACAACTGTTCATTCACTCCACTTTTTTTTGTGGCACCTTATCATTAGCACTATTTACTTGGTTATCAGTCAGGTCTTGTACTCCTATCCAAGAACTAAAACACTGGTGCAAAGTGATGATTAAAAACACCAATGTTAAAATTGGAGCTATTCGAAATAATGCAGTTTGGCAGAACAAAAACAAAATTATTGAAGCCGCCATACAAAGGTTACTTAATTGTGCGTAGAATTTCCTAAAACATAAAAGTACAATATAATACCATAATACAATGATTTTTTTTTAAAATCATTACTCACAAATTACGTTTGGGAATGTCCATCTGCCATAAAATACCTGCACATGTATTTAATATTAAGGAGGAAATCCATGATGGATCTGGATCTAAGTATTTGCTATGACTATAAAAGTTTTAAAAAATTAATTTCAAACTTTAATTCAAAGCATATCTAAAAAAATTACTTGTAATTTCGTGCCCATTCAATGCTGCATGGCAAATGACAACCACAAATTAGTAACCACAACAAAAACAGTGAAAAATGCAGGTGGATGGATGTCAACGATAAATTCAAACCAGGTTTTTCACCTTTCATAAAGTAATCTTTGAAAAATATCACTGGATAATAAATTAACTGGTCAATGCAGTCTTGTACCAATGTGCATAGCTAAGACATACAGTATTAAAATAACCATTAGTTGCTTCTATACTTAATTCAATTTTAGGATGAAAAACTTTATTTTTTTTAGCATTGATTAGTAAAGAAAAGTTAATACACTGGGTATTGTTGATGGACAAATAATATTACTACATTTATGAAAATAATAATATTACAATTAAAATAAAGGATGTTACAAAATATAAACTTAATTAATATAATAAATTAACTTACTAAGAAATAATAAAAAAATGCTGAAATAACAAGCCCTACAGTACCACAAGTATGGTAAGAAATTACAATGGCTATCATTGAAACAGCTATCGGTAATTTTCCAAATCCATACAATATCCAGTCAGATAATGTAGCATTCTTTTGCAACGTTTTCATTATAAACCTATTAAATAGTTAACACATAAAAATGCTTAATTATTTTAAACAAAAAACAATTTATGTCTAGTATTTACCGGACCAACAGTTCGTTTATGGCTTTCCCCCAAAACAACATCATCATCCATAGTGCTACAGTAGCAAAATACATAAATGAATTGGTTATGCAATATAGCAATGACGAAAAGACCATGGTCTTTAGCGGATGTCCAAGCCAATCTATACCACCAATTGGCTTATTGATGTTGGGCCACTGATTTTGTCTAGAAAAGAAATATTACTGTAACTTCAAGAATACCTAATAAAGAAAATTAATCAACTTAATGAACTTACATAACTGTCAAAAAACAAATTGTAACAACTAAAGTCTTGAAAACTCTAATTATAGATGGTAAGGAGTTGTGATATATTGAGCAATCATCTTTAGCTGAATTCGCCAACTGCGAAAATTGATTTGACAACACTAACAATATTATGATTCCAATGTAAGAGGGAAATGTTAATCCGTATTTCAATCCTATTGTTCCGATTGTGTCCATAATAGATAGATCTAATCTAAAAATCAATAAATTTGTATTACAAATGCGCAGTTGATTTTTAATGCTTACTCAATACGATAGTTGCATGTTGGGTCTAATATGAATTGCAAGTATGGATTTGTTGTTCCATTTGACAAAGGAATGTTTTCTAAAGATATTCTCAGTGGTTCCACATAACTGTCACTGAAATTAGATGTAAGAATATCAACCCCACTCTGAAAAACTAATAGCCTGTGGTGAAAATTAGCTTACCTAGTAATACCATGCAAAACACCTTGTGTCCATGGTACGATAAATTTAGAAACAGCATGATGATGTTTTTTTGAGCATTTGATGGGTACCATGTGCACATTATACACACAATGCATGCATATACTAGCTGACCAACCACGCAGAATAGTTTTGTACTGTATTGTTTCAAAAACATTGACTTTCCACAACAGATGTCTATCAAAAACTCCATACCAAAATCGCCAAAATATTTGATTTGTTCTATCACTAGCTTCATATAAGTCAATATTCAAAGCAGTCTAGAAAGTAGAGTTATTAATTTTTTATATAATTTTGATAACAGTTAAGAAAACTTACCAGTTTTTTAGTGTTTTTGATTTTGAAAACCAAATTTGAATGACCTAATTTATAAACGTCAGGTATCTTTAAAGTAATATGCCTTCTTTTCATATGTTTTGAAACTGATATAGTACTATTAGAAGACCAATTTGTACCAAATAAACTAAAATAATAAAAATATACGGTTTTTACAATTTTAATGAATATTGTATAAAAAATTAATTCAATTTAATATCATACCAGTGTTTTTTTGAATGATAATCAGGTTTGCACGAAAACACCCAATCATGATAATCAATATTTACAGCTTCAGCTGTCATTTCATAGTTAACAGATTTTTCAAACAATGGCAGATGAATGATAATTGGCATTGCTGTTCCTTTTTCCAATGAAATTGATCTTTGAAGCTTGTATGTTTCATTCCATTCAATCACGTTGGGTTCATTCAATTTTACAGTAATAGGGTGCAAGTTAGAATGAAACCATTTTCCATTACTTCTCTGTAAATTAATATATACAATTATTAGAATATCACTCATGTAACAGATGGACTAATGAGTAAAGCAGATCAAATAGATCTAATATAAGCTATTATGTGATTAAAAGTTATTGTTTTTTTTTACACACCTTGTCAAAATGATAAGAAGATACTTTTTTTCTCCATTCATAAATTGTATCATCCGATTCAGATTCTGCGGAGTCAAATAGCACTCTTACGATGGATTTGACTAATGATTTACACCACAATATACATTGATGGTCAGTAGAAGTCCAGACACCAGGTATAGCTAAACTCTGGAGGTTAATTGGATATTTGAATTTTGTAATCTTTTTAATCCTAGTTCAATAATTTATATAAATTAGGGTACTTACTAATGCATTTATATCTGCATGTGGAGTATACGTCAGGCAAGGCCAGACCATTAAGTCTCGATGCCCGCCACCAATGGATAATAGTGAAATATTTGACAGAAATGAAGACCTTGGCTTGTCTAATCCGTTCCCCCAAATTTTTTCTACTTGGTCATAATAGCTATCCATATAGTGATCGGCTAAAAATAAAGGCCTGTGAGGAGTGGCAAGAGTAATTATCAGTTCTACGAGGTTGGTATCAAATGAAGGATTGATGAACAATCCTTTGGCTATAATACCACCCTGAAAACAAAAAAATATTATAATAATACAATAGCCAATAACATACTAATAGTAATACAATAAAATACAATTTAGCATTATAACTTGGAAGTAAATTGATTTTTCTATGATTAGATCACATACTAAATTGACCTAAATGAACAATATTGAAATTCAGGAAAATATCAATCTTAAATTATGAATTTTAAAATGAAAGATGGCCCTCACTTTTTGTGAGACAATGTAAAATACTCAGAATGGTAGTGTGGCAATAACAAATAAGTACCAATCATTAAAAACTTTATGAAAATTGAAAATTAAAAAAAAAGTGTGTAACTATTTATTATAATGGATTTTAGTATCTTAATGTTAACAATGCTGTCAAAAAAAATAAAATATGTCGAGCAGTTTTACTTTTTAGTATTATACCACATGTGTGTAAAAGACAGAGAGAGGAGCAACTTATTACACAATTATTACTCACTCAGTCTAAAGATAATTAAGTTCAATAATGTATTACCATAGAATGTCCAATAAGTATAATCGATGTAGGTTTATAGTCATATTCATATGTTTTTATGATTGTATCAATACATTGGGAAACAAATGCAGTTTGCTGTAATAAAACACCTCCAAAGACAGCAGAATATTCTTCGTTCAAGTCGACAGTAAAAAAATCAAATTTTACATTTGATTGTATATGGTACATCTTTCTAATGTTAACCGAAGCAATGGACCGAACTGTAATGAAAAACACATGAATAGTTCATTAAAAAAAATAGTTTAAAAACTATTGATAAATAGGCAATTACAGTATTAATACTATGATTACCTTGCCTGTACGAACCACTGTGTCCAGGTATAAAAACTACTGGTGTACCATAAAACTTCATAGATTTTATTTTCTCCATTGTTTGGCCTTCGGTATAAGCGTACAAATTATACTTTCCCCTGTTCATAGGCACCGAGATTTCCTGGAAAAGTAGAAAATAAATGTGGCTATTAATTGGTATTATCATCATTATCATCATCAACTATGATTATCATTATGAAGTGTATAAATAATAAACTGTTGTCACTTACGACAAAATGAGGGTATTCAAACATGAACGTCATCTCACAATTGTTGGCTGACTTTTGGGTTAACGTCAACTGCTTGTAGACGCCCGTTATGAAGATTAATAAAAGGATTGCGCTCACATAGCTCACCGGACTGGGTATCTTTATCCTAATGATGTATTTCCAAATGTCCATCTTCCAGACGTCGATTGTGTGTCCAGTGGCAGTGACGTGTGTGTGTGTGTGTGTGTGTTCAATTCGATAGCTACCTAATATGTTCGAACACATAGAAACTGCAATACAAACTGTAACATTTAATAATAAATAACATTGCAAACGAGTAGTGTTGGCCTTAATCTGTTTAAATTGAATAATTTCATTAATTTATATAAAAGGTATCTGACGGGCATTATCCGTTTTTAAATAATAATAATAAAATATTGTGTACTATTAAACTGTTAAAGTGTTAACCGGAGTAACTAGTGAGGAAGTATTTAATCTATTCTGCGGTAGTTGTCAAAAAAATGATAAGCAATTATATTATTTGGAATCAGTACGCAAGGATACCAACGTTGAAAAGAAGTGCAGTGAGTTGCAGCATCAACATAACTCAAAAGTGATTATTAAACCCGTAAGGCCGTAAGTCCATTGCCATGTTTTGTAGGAGTCAGTAGCTTACTAATGTACTATGAGGGGGGGGGGTATTGATTCATATGAGTTGTAATTTTTTATTCAATACTAACTGAAAACTAAAATTTATATTACCTGTAATTAAGTGCATTGTACCCATACCAAATTGCCCATCATAATAAAATGAACTAAGTTATAATTGGGAGATTAAGTGGTCGATAAATGGAATAAATAATAATTTTCTCTGTGTTGCTGAAATTGTGTCACCATTGGCATTTTGATTTCCTCTCCAATTTCTTTAGCAAGTTGTTCAGGTGTGCTAAATAAATCATAGAATTTCGATTGTGCATTGCTAACTGCTAAGCACTTCCATTATCAGAATCAGAACACTTAAATTATAAGCATAGTGGATGTCAGCGAAGTTTGCCCCCCTACTTTGTCCCATCAATTTCACACTTTACGTAGCCCCCCCCCCCCCTCACCACATTGTCCTATCCATCTAAAATACTATCGGCGAAGAAATGAATCATACGACCAAGATACCTACCGTTGAAAGGTACTAAACGTAAAATGATTGAACTGTCAACAGATGTACCTACCTTCAAATTGGAGACCGTAAGCAAGTCAAAGATTTCGATTTTGGAAGAATTTCACCACCTGATTTGTACAAAAATAATGTGCTTAGTAAGACTAAACAGAATTACATAGATAAGTCATTAGGAGTCATTAAAAAAATCCAATTGATTCTTTGATTGAATTGAAGCACACTTCTCAGGCTGGAAATATTCATCATATTGGCAGTGATCCAGCTATTATCCATTATTGGACAAATCATTGAATTGTCATACATAAAGATATAACTAAAAATATAGCAGGTTTTTTATTTATGCTACTGGTAGTCTTGTCAAAAAAGTCCAGCGTACGTCTCTTGAGTTGTTATCAGGTGATATATTTGTTGTAAATGAAAGGTTTAGCCAAATTCCTGTTACTCAAATGATAAGTGAAAAACACGATTCAATAACTACTGGATATTGGCTGGATATGTGATTGAGATGTAGGCTGAATGCGCCTAGTGAAGCAGTATCAGATTACACTAGAAGTCGACTATATACGAAGGTTTCATGGATAATGGGAAATACACAAGACACAGCGATTTGGAAAGGAAATTCACAAAGTGTTAAAGCAAAATATTGGCACCAGTCCGAGATGGATCGGAAAATGTGGGAGGGGGGCTACGTGAAGTTGGCCCCCTTCAATTTTAAAATGATTGCCAGAGCTAAAGTTGAAGTTTGCAAATTCTAAAAACAGATTTGTAAATTATTACAAAGTATTTGCAAAATATTTGTACAGGTTTGAAATTGATCGGACAAAGTAGGGGGGCCAACTTCACTCACATACATAGTGGATCGTGGATGATTCATAGAAAAAAATATCTTGGATTACGACCATTGCTGCAAGAATAAAACTTCGATGAAAATAAAAAACAATATAAACCCATGGAAAAATCCTGAACTCAATAGAAAAGAAGAAGCCATAATAAACTGCCTCCGAATTGGACACACACACCTAACACACAGCTACTTGATGAGCAAAGACGATCCTCCACTATGTGACTCATGCAATCTTTTTTTAACGGTCAATCACATCATTACAGAATGTCAAAAATATAACCAGTATCGAAATCAATACCACATCTCCGAACAAATTTGCCAAGCACTATAGGACCAAACCCACAGGACGTAAAAAACTTAATTTTATTCTTAAAAAAAAACAGAATTGTACAATTTAATTTAATGTAATCATGTAAATACTAAAATACTAATAAAGTAACCAACAAATTCTTGTACTAATGTCGATGTATATTTCTGATCAATAAAAAAAAAAAAAACTTCGATGTTTGAGGGTTTGTTGTGGTGTGAACCTTTTTTTGATGCTTCTCTGTTACTGTTATTCATTTAATAAAAAAAAAAATTGCCACAAAAAGTGTCTTGAATGTAATTACAGCACCTAGCTTTAAACACCTACTTTAAACATAAACATAAAAAAATTAAAAAATAAAAATAAAAATCTATCCATATAATTAAATCACACTAGATTTAAACAAGTTGAAAGTGTCATCACCTGGCTTCTTTCCTCAAATTTATGTATCATGTTATTGTTTGTTTCCTTATCTCACATATACTTATTATGTCTTAGTTAGGTATAGATTGTATATTTTCTTCTAAAAAAAAAAAAAAATATTGCATACCTATTATTTATAAAAAAATACTAGGGAAAAATAATAATTTTAGGTAATAGATAGGTATTTACATTTTTAATGCTTATTTGCGGTTGATTGCAAAGATTTTCCTGCATTACTAAAATAATATATTATTCAAATTATTGATCATAATACGCAAACTCCTGATGGAGTATCAGCCGAACTAAAACCTAAAATCTATTTTTAAACACCAAATGTAAACAATTTTTCATACACGCGCGTAATGATAATATGAAAATATAAAATATTCATCATTTGAATGTATACCTATTGGCTATTTTATTTTAAGTAATAACTAATAAATAATAAGTAATGTAATAACAAATTACTTTTGAACAGCGGCCCACCGGGAAAGTTCCCGGTTTCCCGGCGGCCCAGTCCGCCCCTGCCCGAGTTTCACGACAGCGAATTTCATTGGCAGCAAGCTAATAATGTATAAAATATTAAGCAATATTAAACAATATACAAATTACAAGTTCAAATAAATATATGTAGGTACTGTTTACGAGATTTCTCATTAAATAAATTATTCAAATTGTTAAATTAATACATAAATATAATTCAATAATACTTTAACAGTTTAACACAACTTTGGTTTATCAATCATTACCCTGTAAATTGGGTAGGTAATAAATCCATAACGTGATTGATGATAGTCGATAGTTAATCGTATATTTCGTCATTTCGGGTAAAACCAAAGAATCTATTTTTCTATTCGTGAATATGTGTTTAAAAATATATTTATTGAATCAGAGGGAAAGTTCTGGGAACATTTCAAATACCAGATATTAAATAATATAAACAGATCTAAGTCGTCGTCTAATAGAGTAAAATAATATATGTATGTGATATATATTATATGCATATAATAATATTATACCACAGACTATAATAATATAATATGAAAAAAGTCATAATATAGTATGTGATTAAACCATGATCATCGACAACAGTGTTTATCTATCTGGATAACTATCATTTAAGTACCTTATCTGTTATATGCTGTTATCTATCTTAATCAATAATCATAATTCATAATAGAAAACCACTAACCAAACAATAATCCAAAAATGGAATATTATTGAACTTTGAGTTTTGGCTGTAACAGCGAGTAACCCACAACTCACTACCGAGTTTAACTGTAACATTTTTACACGAACAAGTGTCAAGTACTACAAGCGCTACACGGTTTAACGGTTACATCAACTGCCAGCTGTTTGAATCACAAAATGCGTGAATTGTACATTAATATGTAATCATTAACTGTGTTACATCATCCATGCATCATCAGCATCAGGATTAGGTAGGTAATCATCTAATATGACCTATGTAGACTGTAAAGTATACTGTAGGTACTCAAATAATTAGCAATTTGTTGGTATTAGAGAATAGGTAGTACCTGTTATGATAGTAGACCATTTGTTCAATGTCATTGAGTTGTGTGATTTGATTTTTGAATTCTGTTCATTATTAAACTAAACAAGTCTGTTGAAGTATGTCTTCAATTATATTAAAATACCATGATTACATTGAAGAATAATCATGTTTACTGCTTTTGGTTGTACCGATATGACGTTTATTTTTAATTTTTACTATCAAAGTGTGTGTCCGGCGTTTAACATAAATATTCAGAAATCTGAACGAGCATTTAGAAAACATGAACTTAGAACAGGTACCTTCTATTATACGTCCTATTTTGATCACTCAAGTTTTGAAAATAAATACAATTTGAATAATTTGTTTAGTTACAATAATTTTGTAGGTTCTTAGTTCCTACATTTTATAGTATAGATTCTACAAATGGGTTTATAGTTTCATAATTTAATACTTTATCTGGTTATCTGAGCTATAATGAAATTTATGTTTGAGCCATTGTACAACGACATAATATTTTGGCGATATTTTGGTTAATAAAACAAGGTTTACACTCTGAGTTTCTAAGAATCTATTGATGTAACTTTTATTGTGGGTCAATTATCTTCTCGAAGAATAAAAAATTGTCTTTGGCCAAATAATAAATGCTATGTTATTAGTTAAGATTTATTATTTTTTTTATTTTGTGAATAATATTATAATTCATTCGTATTGATTATATTTATACGTTTTGTTGTCTAACTCTCTTGGTAGTAGTTCCATATTATATTGTTAATATTAATATATAAAATTGTTTTATAAAAGATGTCTATTAACAAAATGGTTGAATAATATGTCAATGCAATGGAATACCCAGGATTTTTAAATTAAAATTATGCACCATAACATCATTGGTATCTACTGTTCTATGGTACATAATATACAGGACCTTGGAAAAAGAAACCTAGGCTAGGGGATAATACCTTGTGGGCCCCACTGTTTTTGACTACCTATCATTAGTTTTGTCAGGTAACTGTTGTGAGTTCATTTTAAACTTTTTCCCCTCTGTGTTCATAACATTTTTATTTTCAATTGTTTCTTTAGTTTAAAATAATTGAGTAATCCTACATTTTTGGGCCTTTTTAAAAATTCCAGGCCTTGTTGGAATTCCCCCTTCCCTCTTGACAGGCCTAATAATATGTAATATGTTAAATTTAATATTTTATATAATTTTTGTTTTTATAAAACCACATTCTAAAATATTGTTTTATTGTTTTTTCCAATCATCTAAATGTATTAGTCGGCTACCTTTTTCAAAAATAAGTGGACCGCTTTAACTTCGCAGAGCCTTTTTTTTATAAAATGTATATTGGCCAAAGCCAATCCGTTCAGATGACGTTTTACTTGCATGTGTTATCTTGGTCTTATTAACATACAACATAGCTAATTCTACGCTTAGAATAATCAATTTTACTTGATTACTTTTAATATTATTATTTGAGGAAGAGGTATGGCGAATAATGGATATCATGTAAAATTATAAAAGTAATGCAATATTAATCAAAAAAGTAAAAATATTATTTTGGATCTCATTATAAATTTTCAAAATATGCTATCATTTGTTCTGTCTAATATTTATGTATTTATAATTACATGACAAGCACAAAAGTAATATGGTCAAGAGGACGTTTATTTTGTCTCCGTCTTCCTTACATATAACATTAATAACTTAGTTTTCTGAAGAACTCATTTTACTTAGTTCTTAACTTGAATTAAATGTAGTAAGTTAGAGACTATACAGACTATACAAAATTTCCTCTTGACCAAACTGTTTTTGTACTTGTTCCTCAATTATAAATAAGTAAATATAAGAAAGAATATATTATGACCTATTATAACATTTAAAAGTAAAAATATTATCTATGATTATATTCACATAAGCTTTTATTGATGTTTTAATTTGAAAGTTGAAGTATCTTAAAATATATGATTAGGCTTTTGATAATATTTTTTCTATTAAATTTAATGATAGATCCAATTCATTCTAATATTAGGAATGACGAGTAAAATTAATCATTTTGTACTTAAAATTTGGTATATTATATTATGTTTGTAAGATGAATACTATACATTTGAGATGATCCTAACCAGATTGATTGTATATATATGTTTTTAATTGCTTCAGTGATAAACCATATGTTTAGGTGTTGCTGAAGTAACTAGAAATTGTAATTGTAGGTGTTTAAATACTTGCCAGTTCGTAAAACATTTGCACAATTAGGTACCTAATGTATTAAGCCAAATACATTTAGCCAAATGTAGTTTTAATCCTTTATATTTTCATTGGCATTTTAAACTTGAAACTTCTTCAAGAATTGAACAATCATAAATTAAAAGATCTTAAGTGTAGATAGTTGCCACCATAAAAATTGTGTCATTCTTATTTCATACTGAAATTTTATGGATCAAGCCGTACCGGAAAAGGCCACTGAGTTTTAGGATTTCTATCATTTGAGTATAGCTATAACTACTGTACGGTTTAATAATTTGATTCAATTATTTTTTCTACTAATGTTTGTACTCAATTTCCTTTACCATATAAAAATAAAATTAGTACCAAAACACCCATAACTGGCCTATTTTTTGAGCCCCTTTTGAGTGAGCGGCCCACCAAGATATTCTCTGTTAGCTCGAAAACCTACTCCGGTTCCGAGAATGAGGCCTTTAAAGGTCATAATATCACTGAGTTGTTGATTAATCTTTATACACAATATTTAAATGATGAAGTCGAAAAAGTTAAAAAACAACCATGTTTTTATTTTTATTTAATAATTTAACACCGGTGAAACTGCGAAGGTACAGAAAATATTATGTTTACTTAACATAAGAATTAATACAACAAATCAAGAATTAAATACAATCAATTAAACATGCATTTTTAATTTAGAAAACAGATCAAAATTAACTAGTTTGTTACAGAACTCAGCCTGGTTGCAAATCGGTTAAATTTCTTAAACTTTGCATTTTAATGTATGTCAAGATATTTTGAATTTATATTTTAACTTTTGCTAAATTTTCCAAATCCGTAACATCCTTAAAAATTTGTCTGAAGTGCTCATCTGCAGTCTGCACCTTCTTGAATATTTTAAAATACACTGTAACTTACTATGATGTAGGGCAAAGCCTTAAAGACATCATGTTGTTTGCTCTACAGAGAAATTATCTTCTTCTCATGTCTGGTGCTTGACAATTTTGAGATAATAAAATAATTATAAGTTATATATATTAGTAAGCATACCATATGATGATAACATATATATAGCTAACAAGTCTAATTTATTTATTTAAATATGTGTGTGCCAAATTTATTAAAATAAAATATCAATTAATTATGTTCATTATTGTTTGTTCTAGTTCCAATAAGTATCAAAATGAAATTTGAAAAAAGCATTGTTCCAGCTGGTTGGGAAAGCGACGAGTATGATGAATTTGGTGATCTTATTGAACACAAGTCATATCATGTAAAACCAGAAGAAGAAGATTTTCAATTAACATTGAAAACTGCCTGTGCAACAAATAATGTATCTGAAATCAACCGTATTTTAAAATCTGGAACTGTTAATATCAATAGTTATTTGCATAATAGTTGGACCGCTTTGATGCATGCAGCATTTAATGGAGCATTAGATGCAGTGACATATCTTTTACAGAATGGCGCAGACCCATTACTTGAGTTTGACTGTCATAATGTTATAATGTGTGTATGCAATTGTACTTGCATTTCTAATGAATCGGACTTATTAAATTGTCTAAAGCTTTTAGCAAATTTTGATAGTATTGACATCAACTCAAGAGATAGAACTGGACTGACAGCACTCATGTATGCATGCTCCAATGGTTGGTTGAAGTTAGTAGAATTTCTAGTCGATCATGGTGCAGATATAGAGTTGAAAGATCATGAGTCTGGAGAGACGGCTTTATTTTTTGCAGTACGTATCAATCATGTAAATATTGTGAAATTTCTATTATCAAAAGGAGCTGACAAGGATGCCACTGACAATAAATGTCAGACAGTGCATAGAATAGCTGAAAATAAAAACATGGTTGATATTTTAAATTTATTGAGTATGGATTATAAAAATCCACAACTAGAAGTTTATTATTCAGGAGAAGAAAATGCTTACTGGAATGAAGTTATGACTGAATTGGAAAATGGTTTTAGTAAAGACATAAAATCATTTTTAGAAGCATTATCAATGGAAATCTATACAGATCATCTAGTTGCCAATAATGTAGATTTTAAAAGTCTACTTACTGGAAATAATGATCAACTTTTAAACATGGGAATCACTTTATCACCGCATCGTAAACTTTTGGCTACAGCGCTTAAATGTTTTCATACATGGGGTTGGTCTCGTCATACTTTAGATGTTAAAAAAGACAATATGAATGCTGAAAAAATTGCACAGACATTGGGGATTATAGTTAGACAATTGCATATATTAGATGCTTCAATAAAGTACTTAGGAAATAATAGTTATGGCTTGAATCAACAAAAAGGTCAAGAAGCCTTTAATCTTTTAAAAAGGATTAGAACTACAGAGGATAAAATATTTAAAATATTAGACCAAGAAGTGAGAATAGGTCAAGTGGACTACACAGGATATAATAAGATAAGAAATCAAAATATAAAAATAAACATGGATAACTTGTTTGCTAGTGCAGCTGTTCTTTTAGTATTATTGCGTATATTTTAAATATATTTTTTAATTTTATACTTGATCGATTAATAAATATAAAATGTTGTTGGTGTTTTAAATTGTAAACTAACTATTAATTTTTGTATTGTTATCAATTTAAAATAAATACAATATAATTACTTATTTTAACATCATATTTTTTTTTGTATTCTTCTGGTGACTTAACTATTTAAGTCAACATACGTACATTGTATACCCAACTAAAAACTGACATTACAATTGAGTATAATTAACAATTTTATTATTAATTGCGCACATTAATGACACAAATACACAATTATGATTTGTATACCTTAGGTACCTATTTGTATTTTAGTGTCAGAATATAATGTAATATTATGGAATTTTGCAATATGTTATAGGGAATAGTCATGAATACTGCATGATAATTTATAAGTAAATAAAAAACTTGCATTCGTTAGCTTCAATATACCCAACAACTGAGATGTAACACTTGGACTTGAAGAGAACACCGCCACACAAATTTTAAAGTTCCTAAACAAAACTAAATTGTTTAACCTAATTTAATAAAAAAAAAAAAATCATAAATGATAGCAATTGGCCATTGTTGATGTCAATTAAGAACAATAAGAAAAAAAACCTTGTAGGTTGATTGTTTTATAATGACTGAAATTATAATGTTTGTGTACAATCCATAATGGAAATTTATTTCTGTTTGTTTTAGTAGGTATTTATGGAAGTAGTGAAGCTATTTTGGGTTTTCAGCAATATTTACATGGCTACATTGTCACATTGATTCATTATAATATGATTTAGGCATGTACACAGTAAATCTATGTGTGTTTTTCTTATAAGACCTACATTATAGGTAATTGAGTATCTACTGCCAAAAACTCGTTAGAAAATGTCTGGAGAGTAGAGTTCCAAAAAAGTAAATGGGAAGATACCTTCCATGATTTGGTGGAAGTTTAGCAGGTACCTATCTATATTGAAATATTAAATTAGAAGGTACTCTCAAAAATATTTTTTTTACACTACCTTGCCCCTATAATAAGAATAGTAACTACAAGACAATAATATTTTAATAATAAATCAAGATATATGCAATAGATTTAAATTGCTAATAATAACATTGCTTTAATAATACTATAGAATTATTTTTAATCAATTTGGCAACAAATATTTTCTGATAATTGATAAATAATAATAAACAATAGTGTATTGTCTAAATAACTAAAATTGGTTTAATCAATGTTCACAATAATTTATTATCAATTGATTTATAAAAATAATTTTCAATTTTATAACATTTTTTATTTTGGTACCTATTGATTAGTCTTAAAATAAATTGTATAATAATTATTATTATCAAATATCAATCAATAATCTAAGTTTAATTTTCAACATAATGTATTATTTAATTACTAATAGTTAATAGGTATCTAATATATCCATATGCACATTATTAAATGTATAAAATCCTATGAACAATATAAACATACAAAAGTAATTTTGTTAACTCACAAACATTTTATCTATGAATTCAACTAGAATCTCAGATAAAATAATAGAATTAGACCTATTATAACCTACCTACCTACACACTTATTTAGATGTATTTTAAAATGAGTTTAATTGAAATCATATTTATAATTTTCATACCTACTCTGGAAAACAAATATAGTAGGTACCTATTGGCTATTTAATATACATTTACACCCCCCCCCCCCTCGACAGTAAGACACAATGTAAAATACAATCGTTCAAAACTAAAATCAACGTCTAATATTGTAAGGTGTAGAAATAAAAAAAAAATAAAAATGGTGTTAATTTTTGGGCGGGTGCAACGATCTCGTGATTGCAATTATTGTTATATAATATTATATAGATATGTATAATTCAGATTATTTTAAAATCGAAAAATTCTTGCTTGCAATGAGCGTGTGACTTGTACGTTGTTGCTATACAATATGAAGTATAAGGAATATTATTATTTATCGTGGCAACTTTAGTCAATTTGTTCTTAGGAAAAAATGGTAACTGCCAACGGATAGTACAATAATCACAGGAAAAAATATTCTGATACCAATGAATATAAGACACTTTATTTTTGAAAATTGTACCAGACATATTATCAGAGGGGAGCTGCTGCCCATTCAGCAATCCCCATAAAAACGCCCCTAACGCAGTAGTAAATTCGTCGAATCCTTTACGATTTCGTCTCTACATAATCGGTTTCTACTTAATACAATATTACAATAAATCTATCAGTTGTACCTACCTACATAATCATATCTTCTGTAAGTATCTACATTGAACTGCACACAATCATACGTCTGGCTTAAAATGGAATGGGGTTTGTAGGTACTCGTATAGGTCCAAGGTATCGCAGTCGGTAGGTAGGCACCTAATACTTATTCGTTCATGGACCTAAGCATGGCTAAATAAATATATAGATAAATTATCATTAACTATTATAATTATAATTAATAAATTTATTTAGCCATGGACCCAACTATGTATATAATTTATCAGGGGCGTACGCGGGGGGGAGGAGTTGTTTGACCCACCACCTTTGGTACTTTTTAACTACCCTGTTTACGTATCGATGCATACAAATTAATACAATTTAAAAAATATTTTGATATTTTTATATCTGCTCCCATTAGAATATGTCTATGTACGCCACTGTAATTTATATTTTATAGGGGTGCTATTGTTTTTATAAAAAAGATTCAATAGAGAAGGACGAATGATTAATAGATTTCGGGGTAAACGGTTACTTTGTAATGTACATTGTTTAAAATGTATAACACAGACATTTTGTATAGTCAGGTAAAAATGAACATTGCAATTTGCAGAACGCGGACACAGTACGACCGGGTAAGAGTGTTAATTTCAAAATGTGGACACTTGGTACTATTATATTATAGATAGGCAGTATAAAATATTATGAAAATTGTAAATATAAAGACCGACTACCTATAATATATGATATAAAGTTTGATGAGTTTTAAATATTATTTTATTTATTTTAAATTAAAGATTTTATAAATTAGCCAAAATAATCAAACTTTTTTTTATTTATTGGTTAGCTGGTATAATAACCAAATATTAGGTACCTATCTACTTTATAATATATTTATAAATTATAATTAGTACCTATATTACCAAATGGTATTTGAACTTAATTACATTTTAAATATAATTGGTGATGCGACTATTCAGACTTTTTTATATTATACTTATAAGGCTATATAACCTATACTTTATGTAGTTTTATGATATTATATTTATAGTAGTACAAAGTGTCCGCTTTTTACAATCTAAAGTTGTACCCGTTCACGTTTCAACCGTACAAGGTGACCTAAAACCACATTTTGAGTGAGTACGGGTAGTACCTATCCACAATTTACGTAAGAAGGTTGGTATACTTATCTTAAATCGTGGCTACACGGGTACTACACCTATGTAAGGGACGACAAATAAAATCCTGGTTCCAGAGGATCTTGTGGATTCGCTTATACTGTATAGAGCAGTGTGTTTCCCAACCTTTTTACCACCACGGACCACATCGATAATATTTTATACGTCGCGGACCACCTCAATTTTACGAAAACTAGGAAGACCTTTTTATTTTGCTCATTAACAAGTATAATACGGTTCTTCAATAAATCGAAATGTTTTTTTGCTATTAAAAAAAAAAAAAAATTGTAATAGAAATCGAAGAAAAAATTATGGTACCGCGGACCACCGGTTGGGAAACACTGGTATATACAATATACTTATATATAATCACGGTGTGATGTATCGGTAGTATACTAGTATGTATATGCAGTTCAATGTTTGATGTTTCTACATAAATAGTTTTAGGTATAGGTATCTACATAGGTCGTAGTTATACCTACGTTAGTTTATACTGTTAAATTGATAATTTATTAACATTACGAATATCCACTTAAATATGTATATATATTATAGATGCATAGACACAATTTAAAAAAACTTGTTTTATGTTGTTTTTCAAGTTTATTGAGACTTAGGTGTCTTTGTCTTTGTAAGTTTTTTTGTAAAATATTAAAAACAAATACAAAAATAAAAGTACGTCGAATATCATGTAAATGGTGAACAGTCTCGGAAATTTACAATCGTAAATAAAAAGGCATATAGCGTAGATAAGGCCTAATATGAATTGGACCTGTAAACCAAACGATACATATTATTCATTAAGCTACCTTGGTAGTCATAGGCGGAATCCAGGGAAGGGGGCTAAGCCCCCAAAAGTCCACCAAACACCCTCCATAAATCAAATAGTTATTGTAAATGGGGTAAAGCCCCTTCGATTTAGGTTCATTTGAAAAATAGTGCACCCCCAATATTTTCAATGGATTTCCGCCTATGTTGGTAGGTAGGTAGGTAGGTATAGAATATTAGCTTTAATAGGCGCAAATCGTCAGAATAAAATAAGTGAGTGACTTTGGTCCCAACAAGAAAAAAAGAAATTACAAATTTGAGCTTAAAATTTGTTTATTTTAGTGTTGCATAAAAAAGGTCTAAATTAATTTATGTAAAATAAGTGGACTCTTACGTATACATGGTATACATCTATACCTATAATACATTATGTAGACTGGATTCATTTAAAAAATAGATTAGACTTTTTTATGCAACAAAAAAACAAACAAATTGTAACCACACCAACTACGTTAAGTTGTCTGTCCTAACGTCTGAATAAAGTGGGAAGGACATTTGTATTAGTTATAATTTTTTTCGTGTGGTAACTTACGTTTCCCCTACACATTGTGCGATCATGTATTTTGTGTTAATACGTTATAATTTACTAATTTTTTTTTGCGATTTTCCCATGTAATAGGTTATTGCTCATAAATATATATAGTTTATATTCAATTTGTAGAATTGTATAAAGTATAAAATGAGATAGGTACCTACTTACCCCGACGATTTGTACCTATAGCTAATATGCTATGCATTGATAATTTTTACTTACAATTTGTAAACGGGTCAAGTATTTCTTCCACCACAAATATTTTTGCATTTGAGGACCAAGAGCCGATAGAAAATAGTAGCTATACATTATTGAATGTATTACTGCGTTAAGAATACCACAAATAGCTCCTTGCTGACCTGCATAAACATAATTTTTGCATTAATTTGTTGACCGTTTTTTTTTTGTTATCACGGTGACACATTTAGGTACTATGTATATTATGTGAATTCCTGTACGTTTTATTTCAAGTTATATATCATAAAATAAACTAAGTCTAAGTAAGTAATATTTAGGCAAACGGTCTTCCCCCAGAATCGTTTCTCGTATACAATGATTTTACACTACTGAATTCAAATTTAACACATCCATTACGGAGACCCATCTGACACCTCCTATACAACAGAGCGACTTTTTTCTAATTAAGCGAATTCAAAATGCAATGACCCAAAAAATAATAATAAAAACACTTATTGTGAAAACCAATTGGTATTTATACATTATATATAATATATACTATATTTAAAACGCCTCACACCACTTTTTAATCTCATTCTAGACATATTCAAATGTATATATAGCATATTGGGACCAAAAAAAAACATATTTCCCAAGCTATTAGAAAGTTTTTTATTTAAGATTCATTTTTTCGATCCACCCTTATATATATATATATATACTTATAGTATTTTTAAAACAATTTTATTTACTAGAAGGTAGATCGTAGATTTGTAGATTTTAGATCAGCTGTTCCTGACCTTTTTAAATCTACGTCCCCTTATAAATGTACTAAAATCTCATTCTCCTCCTTAAACTAGAGTTTAGGTGATTTTTTTTGTGAGCACTATAAATAAAACATTCAAATCAACTATATACTATACAATATACAACTATTTACTCGTTATACCTAATATATAATTGTTACCGATACCCAATAATCTAAAAACTAATATAGTGATTTCAATTTTACACATTGTAAAATAACATAATTATTTTCGTAATTCCATCATCACTACACCCATTACTATATATTTGGTTTAATATATTATTTACAAATTTACCTAATAAATAATAATTATATGCAATAAAAATATGCCTTATGTTTCAATAATATAGAGTTCGAATTTTGTGATTAAAACGAATAGAATGCACCTATTACCTATGACTACTGTTAATGATTTATTTAAAAAATGTTGGTAGTAATGTGTTGTATGTTATTATGATCTATTTTATCTGTTCACTAGATCGTCATTATGTCATAAATGACTTATACTGCATATAATAATTAATAAAGTACCAAATTTAAAAATAACACAATTATCACGTATAAGAAGTTAAGAATTACCTTTAATAAATCTCAAAAATGTCCAAGTAGTGACCACCATATTTACATGATGATAAACGTGTAAGAATGAAACATGAGTTTGTTTTTTCCTTAACACAAAGAATACCTAAAATCAAACATAATATTTATTAAATTATTAATTTCCAAAGACTTTATAGGGTTTATTTTATAATGAATAATGATATTATAGGTAGTTTGTATGTATATATGCATACATGTATATTATGTAATATAATATATTTTACATTGTATTTTTGTATACAGCTATAGAAATATATTAATAATAACAAAAATAATGACTATACCAACATTTTAATATTGCGTTAAAATGTAGGTACTCGATTTTTGAAAAAAATGTAATACATTTTTAATTGAGAACTCATAGACGCAAAAGCTTGAACTTGTTTATGTTATTTGAATTGATTTTAAGGTGATTTATTATGAAGGTATGAATGATATTATTTTAGTTAAAAACTTTATGTAGGTACTTACGGTATCAAGAAGATCAAATATTTTTGATATTAAATAATGCCACGACTGGACATAGAACTGAAAATAAAATGTGTAATTATTATATAAATAAATATCTATTTATTTTAAATTAACAATTGGAAACTAAAATTATAGTATCATATTTTTTCAGATTGAATAACATGAAATATAATATTTAATAATTATTTTTATAATGAATCATGACGTGTTCAATTGAAGTATTATTAAAGTGTTATATTTTTGTGTTTTTTTATACAAATTGAAACCATAAATTTATTTAAATAATACTATAATAGATATTATGAATAAAAAACAAATGAATTATTATAATTAGGGGTTTTTATTAATAAAATGTTAATTCATTCACATTTATCTTACCACATTTATAATATGACGATTACTTTCACTCTCATCTGGATTACATACATTGACCATTAAATATGTGTATATACCGGGTGTAAGAAATACCTGTAATTAAAATTTTTTTTTAATAAATGTTTTTCGTTGTACACATTTTGAATTGGCTCCGAAACAATGTACAATCGACGTAAGTGGGTTCTAAAATTGCGATTGTAACATAATAAATTTTAGAGTTAAATTCTGTGTGATTTTCAATGCCTACTAAGAACTTTTACCAGTTATATCAATTTACTAGGATACGTATTGTATCATAAGAAAGGCCGTAGCCAGAAAAATATTTAGAGGGGGGGGGGGGGTTAGAGTCTATATTTTGAATATCATATTTCATCAAAATTTAAACTTCTGATACTCATGAAAAATTATGTGATTTTCCAGTAAACGTTATTTTTGGTTACCTATAGTTTGAAAAATTTACGAGAAATTTTGTGTTCAATTATTAAACCGTGTAATATATAAAAAGGAAAAATTGTATGAATTTATAACTACAAAATAATTTCCAAATTTTCGATTTTGACAAATTTTTGAATTAAAATAATATTTATAAAATAATATTGTGACAATGTATTTTCGATAGACAATGTATTTTAATTAGTATATGAATAATTTATGAGGAACTTTGTATTTAATTATAGAATATCAAAATTTCATGGAAAAAAAGTAAAATGCCTAAATATCATCAACATATTTGATGAAAATTGGTGGTAAACATTTGGTGAAAATTTAAGTATCTATGTTTATTCAATTTTGAGTTATACTAAATTTGTTAATGTAGTAAAATAAATAGTGGCGCTCTCTTATAATTGCACATATCACCAATCCGAAGTGTCAAGAAAACATTTTCCACAAAAAAGGAAAAGTACATAGGTCTTATCTTTTGCCTACCGTATCGATAAAATGTTATATGAAATTTGAAAAATTGAAAAATCTGAAGCTGAATTCATTTTGACCACTATAGTTTTATTAGTATGATTTTACATGCGTGTATTTGTTCAGTATCTTGTTTATACGTTTATGGTATATATTACGATTAAAATGTATTACACTTACTTCCGATACAATGAAAATGTTATAAATGGTTTGTGCAATGTTATAAACCATGATAATACGTTTTATTTTAAACGGTTGACGATTTTCCATCATCTTTGGGCCAAATTTTAACACAAATAACAAGTAAGCTAAAAGAATTGATAAAACTGGCCATGGTGTACTCATCAGCATCCACGAATCGGCATTTTTATCTATAAAATAAAATATTATACAATATTACAAGGCAAACTGTCAATAATTTAAATTTATATTTGCAATCTTATATTTTAAAAACATTACCTAATTATAGGTAGCACAACATTGCATTTTTAGTTATTAAATATATTATAGTAAGTAAGGTAGGCACCCATAAAAATGTTAATAATTTTTATAGATTGTGAAAAAAAAGTATACTAAAAAAGCTATTTAAAATTAAGTTTAATCAATGTTTTAGGCTTATAGCTGATTTATATAATAATATTGTATAATATACTAACCAAATTTCAATTCTTGATTTAATAAGTTTAAAAACTGATGCTGCGTTTCATTAATGAAATTATTCAAATTCACATTAGTCATATTTGTAATAGATTTGATCAATTGAGGATTCACTAAAACAAAAATATCATCTTAAAAAGTAGTGACACAAGGATGTTGTGTAAATGATTTATATGAGGATCAAACTAAATATTTAAATATTTATTTTATATTAAATATTCTATGGGATACCGTTAGTTTTTAGATGTAGGCGTTAAAAACAACCGAATGAACTGTTGAGAAAAAAAATATTTCTAGTTACTGTGGCTAGGGTTAATCACCATAATTGCATTTTCTTAAATATGAGTCGTATCTACAATGAACAGTTTGGAACTTTAATATTATTGTATAATATGAGTTTAAAGGTTATGGTTTATGTATACATTGATATGTAATGGTTATGATAAATTATGTATAGTTATGGCTAAAATACAAATATTTTCTAGGTAGGTAGTTGATATTATTATTTAACGATTAAGTTTAAATATAAGTTTTAAATGTTATTTTAGTATGACATAAATAATTCGATATTTCTATATGATATATGAAACTAACATTTAAATACATTTAACATTTAAATATATTTAAACTATACACTGATTTTGTGTTAGTCATTTTGAAGGAAGGAAAAAATAGACTTGAATATCAAGAGACTATTTTATAATTTAATATAAATAACTATTGCATTTGATTTTTTTTAAATATTAAATATAGTAGGCAAAGTTTTCTTAAATTAAATTAAAAAATATACATAATAATAATAAATATTATATGTTTACAAGTTGCGTTACCTAAAATATCAACTGAACAGCGAATGTTGCAGGTATAGTTTTATTAAAAACGAAATAAGTCATGTAATCACAAATAATGTATTGTCATGTCTTCACTATTGAGTTCTCGATCAGTCTTGTCATCTCGTCAATATTTTTACCTTTAAGTAAAAATGTACAATAATTTACTGAAAAATAACCGAACAATAAAGAATTAAAAATTAAAATTAGTATTTAACTATTTAAGGTTACTAAAGTACTAATGTTAAACATTTCAAGAACGAACGAGTTTAACACAAGTTGTGGTTGTCATTTTAAGTGAATTTTAAATAAATATATTAATGTTTTTTTAATAACAACCTTTCTGTAGAATTTGTGTGATGGTATGGGAAATAGTTACATAGATTTAGATTTTAATTTAGGTAACCCACTCTCAGGTACTTCCAAGGTAAACAACAATAACAATTATCACCAAGAAAATTTCACTGATAGCAGAGTCCCTATATTCACAAGGATAACCAAAAACCTAGTTTTTCCTATAGTTGGTAGTGATCTTCACACATCTGAATGTCAGTGAAAACTGAAGGAATTTCCTTATTCGATCATAAGCTGTTTTAAATAAATGCATTTCACAAATACCTTAGTGTAAGATCATGTATCTATGATGACAATAATGATTTATTGTAAATAATAAAAATGGTATACACAAATCGATAGAATATTTTAAGAGTAGGTATCTACTATTTTATTCTACAAATGTGATGCAATGATGCTCAACATGTCTGAGCTATATAAATTATTTAAATGTTGATACCAATGACTTTAATATATTTATAGATAAACATAAAATACAACGTTTATATTAGCTATATCATACACATTTTAAACAATTTTACATTTACATACTTTATTCTAAAAAAATACAATTATAAGATGACAAACTTCATCATCTTTTATATTTTGTACCTTCTCGTTCTCACCTAATTAATTTCTTTAAGTAGGTATCGAAAAATAGTTATACAACTATTTGTTCAAAGAAACACAAAAGAGTTTTTAATTAATAAATGTCTGTACAATAATGTTTTTATTTCTTCTGTGATGTGTGTGATTTAGTTCCATATAATTATCATCATTTTTTTATTTGTTATTAATAATTTATTCTACTAAGTTACATATGTCTGAGGCAGTTCACTTTGTATGTAAGTACTAAAGTACCATGTATTATGATATTATATTATAGATACATTATAAAATATATTATATGAAATATTATACATTGGTGAGGACTGAGGATTAACTTTTTTAACTAGAAAATGCACATTTTGGATATTGTGCATTAAATAGATACCTAACCCAGTTGTTTGATTTTTCAATTACACGTTTATTTTTTCAATTGGTTAAATTGATTTATGATTTCCAGTTATTATAGTTTTCGATTTTGGTATTTAGCTGTGCCATATAATATTTTAATATGTATTTACATAACATTAATGTCGTGTTGCAGATGGCACGCTATGTATACTAAAATATTATGTTGATTGCCGATACTGTATAATAAATCTTATTATAGTTTATACTACAGTATACTGTATTCTACAAAAGAGTTTACTCCGCTTATTATATAAACAATTGTATATATTTTTCATAATATCCAAAGTTTAATAAAAGAAATATTGAATTTATTTTATTTTTTATAATTAGTTACTTGACTAGAAATTATAACATCGTATAAAGCTATTCAGTATAAATTATTTCAAATGTAATTAGACAATGTCTCGACACTTCAATATTGTATTAAATAAAAACAACAGAAATCAATCAATTCACCATTATTATCAGACACTGGTTAATGATTTTGGAATCCTTGAAATATTTTGTATTAGTTAGGTGGTTAATTTGAAATATTTATTTCTTAAACTTTAGTATTGATAGCCAGTGGGTATATTGAATCACAAATTGTAATAACTTTAAATTATTCTAAATGGAACATTATGGAAAAATCTAAAGTATTCATTGCTTAAATGTTAAATTTCTAGGCCCTAACGGTCGTTTTACTATAAAATATTTGGGCATTGGACGTTTGTGCATCACTATTGTTACGAATAACCATCTTTATACTCAATTTACGCAGAACTATTGTCATAAAAAAAAAAATTTCCAGATTAACAAAACAAAAGAGACATACAGAATCACACACGCTATTTTATTTGCAAATGTTATGTTTGAATTATCTTACCACTGTAATAAGTACTAATGATAAATGATATCCTTATACCTCAGTTATTTTTATCATAGGATAATAATAGAATAATAGGTAGTAAATATTATTATACCTATACATTTTTTTAAAATTGGATTACCTTAGAAAATCATTCTAAGCTTAATAATTCTACTCTGTCCCCACAAAAAAATATTAATATTTGATTAATATTTACCATTTTTAAAATTTACCTCAAGATAATAAATAATTCTTTGGATGTTAGAATCTCCCATGTAGGCTATTAAAGACCGGGTTCATAATTTTGTAACAGATGTGATATTTCAATATTTGTGTATTATTATTATTATTATTATAAATCTAATGGTAACGATTAATAATCACATCCTTAGAATCAATTCTGAGTAGAGATTATTCAAAACCCCACTTGGTAATACAATATACATTTATCCAATGTTTACCACAACTCTGTTGTTTTTGCGATGCCTAGGAAACTACGGAGAAGATTGAAAAATAACGTTTTTAAGATAAGATTTTCTATCTATAAAGCTGTCACATAAAACTTTTAGAGCTGTTCTACTATCCAATAACTATCCATACCAAAAAAAACACCATTAAATGAACAATTCATTTCTTGTGGTTGTGTCGTTTATAATCGAAAATGTTTATACTTTATCTAAGTATCGTAATTTCGTTTTCATCTTTTAAATATTTAAAACTAAGCTAACAATTACTTTTGAAAATCTGTTGAACAAAGAATTAAATACTCGTTAGAAACGTGTTGAATTTTATAGTATAATAATTAAAAATATTAATCGGAAAATACAGAAAATAATATAGTTGTTTTGAATTTAGCTATTATTTAATTTTAAATATGACAATCTGGTATGTATTTTAAGGTTTTTTTCTTTTCAGTATTTAGAGCTAAGAATATATTTTATTGTAATGTCAATAGTATAATATAATACATAATCAATATATTTTAAAGATTATAGCTACTTATGGTTTATAATAGAAACATTTTGAAATTAATATAACGTTTGAAAATATTTTTATTAATAAACTATTGTATTGCAGGGCTAAATATAATGTTATTTATTATTGAGTATTTAACTTTTTAAAATGAAAATGTATGTAGTATAGCATAGTAGGCACTAGGCACCAGACGGTGCAATCCATTTAAAGTGACCATCATGTTTTCCCCCCAGAGCGAAATCCTGTGAATTTGAATAGAGAAAATACATACAAAAAAAATGTTTTTATTATTTTTCTCCTAAAACGACAACTGTAAAAATAAAGTAAAACTATATAGTAGAAATGATAATACACATTGTTCAAAATAAGTAAAATTATATATTATATGTTAGATGTTTATTTATTAAAAATTAGAAAATTAAAATATAACTAATCTTGAATGGCTTGGTGGGCTGGTTTTCTATATTTTTTGGATGAGCGATAATTCTGCTTAAAAACATCAGGCGCCTGGAGGCATTAAATCTACTCTACAATTATACGAAGATTTGAGCGGGATAGGTCCTTAGAATGGAAGTATGTAAATAATGTCTTCCACCCAACCATAGATAACTGTATAATATGCACCCGTCCCAACGACTTCTATTGTGTACCAATTACCAGCGGTTTACGCAATAACGTATATTTAATTATTATCATTTATCATATTATCATTTTTACCAATGAGGATTTACTGCAGTATACTTATGTATGAATGTAATATTGAAATAAAACAAATGTTTATCTACATTTTTTTTTATGGAATATAAGCTACATATAGCATTTTTTTTGTTTTTTTCAAAGCAGCACATTTGCGTTCTTTGGGGAAAGCGGGACTGTCCCACCCAGAGCGGGACGCATGGTCATACGCAAGTATCGCAACAAGCTCAATGTAGATATATTTGACTGAAGAAGATTAACTTGTTGAAATAGTTGAACCAATGAGTTAATAGTGAGAAGTCGTAGGTATTGACATATAATGTCATTAGGTTACTAGTTAGACACACTGATATAGTGATGTAGAACTATTATGGCCAGAGTATATTTGAGTTGTAAATTTGTAATGTTATAAATTAGCATTACATAGCAATTAAAGTTTTAAATAATAAAACATACCTAATTTACAAAAGACTATTCAATTCGGGGATATTTTTTATGATTCCTAATAATATATTGGAATTTGAAATCATTATGACAATTATAAGTTACTTATACATATATAATATTATCTACTGTACATTTGTACTTATGAAAATGATCAACAATAATTTTTCTTACATTTTTTAAACTAATTGTTTCTATAACACCTACTTTTAAAATGTAAATATTCATACATCCATTGAATTTAGGCATGTATAATAATTGTACCAAAAATAAAAAAATTACGTTTATTTAAAACTTTTAGTCTTCGTCTATTTTTATTTTATTTATAGTTTATTTATTAAATACCATGACTACGAAATAAGTATATATATAAGAGTATAAATTGAGTGATTATTTGTATAGTACACACGTATTATTTAAAAAAAAGTATTACCAACCTATAGTTCTTGAAAATTAATATTTATTACACAAATTGAAGGCATTTTTAAAAAAGTCATTCATAAAACCAGATTGTTTGAGAAATAAACATCATATAAATTAGTTAAATATAATCAAAAAAATAATAACTAATATAGTTTCAAGAGTGCCTTACCTTATATAATGAAAACCGTTTTGTCAGAAGTTGAAATGTTCAAAGTTTTAACGGTTCAACTGCTGTTATAGGTTACTTAATAAGTGAAAAACGATTTCAGTACAATTTATTACACATACGCACACACACACACACACACACATAAATATATATTCGCGTTATAGTGTTGTATTACATTGATGGGAAGGCATTATGTTTATGCATGATTATAGGAATGTTACTAAACGATACGGTGTCTCCGGTTTTACTTTATAATGAAATAGAAACAACAGCTGTACAATCAAATTTGCATTTTATACAGGGTCAGAGACCGTTGATATAATTTATTACTATTTATCACCATTAGCAATGCCACCACGAAAGAACTTACTAATTCAGTTACCAAAAAGTTCACGGAGAAATATTGGCGAGTCATGTGATTCGAAAAATAGGGCTAAATTAGACGAAAAGCCACGTGTACTTGAAAATTGCACGTTATAATTTGAATTATGTTAAGATTAAATTATATTTATAGATATTAACTACCTACTTGCTTTTGTGTCTACTGCTACACGATTAAATGAAAGGTTAAGCCACTTCGAAATTACAATTATTCTACTCAAAGCATTTAGCCAAACATGATTTTTTGTAAACACTGCAAAAAGTCAATTATATTCTCTCGAATTCTAGTCTTATCAACCTATCCTTCTAATAATTTTATTGCGCTCACGTGTTGATGTATCAATTCGTTAATAATTTAATAATAATGATAAATGTATTATATGATGCAACTATTCAAAGACCTAAAGTGTATTAATACGAATGTGTAAATATAATGGTATTTTTACAGCATTATCGAATTACTTATTTTTAGGGTAGGTATAGCCGTATAGGTTAGGCATATCGCACATGTATAATGTAGATATATACAGTTCAGTCTTTATATTGATCTGAAGGCTAAGGCCAAGTTAAATTTTACTGTAGGTATAGGTTATTTGCATCACATAGATGGAATAGTTGTAATAGGATCATATCACTTGAACTGCTACAGCTAGAGAGCCATAATGATATTATTATATTATATTATATTTATTTATTTATTTATTTATTTATTTATTATTAAGGCTCTATAGCTACAACTATTAAAATCTTGACTATCAAAAACATCAAGTCGGCAGGTTAGATAAAAATTATACTAGAACATTATTGCGAAAGCAAGGGACTAACCTAGAAAATATGTATTTTTCTGAATATAGCTAAAATAAAATAATTTACGTAGTAAAATACAAAGTACGAATTTTACTATCTACATAGTATCATATAATCAGTAAGTAAAGTAAATTGTTATTATTATTTTTTCTTTATTGGTTAAGCATCAACTACACACGTTATTAGCTTTACAAGTGTTACATTTTTACATTGAGGTTGTATACTATTATACAATTAAATTTTTTTTAAGTATAAAATTATGTTTGGAAAGTTTGAAAATGGGCCAGTTGCTTCGTACAGGTTGTCTGGGTTGTTGAAATTATTTTATTTCAGTTGTTCATAGAAATTAATTTGTTCTAGGTTAGTTCCTTATTTTTTTTTAATAATGTTCCCGTACATAGCCTGCAGACTTGGTGTTTTCTTGATAATCAAGATTTGAACAGTTGTAACAGTTCAGGTGATATATACCTCCATGGATATTTATATATATATATATATATATCACGTAAATAACAAACCTGTACTTATTAATTGGCTTTCTAGGTTACGGTCTAGGGCGGAATTATTTATTGAGAAGCTGAAACAAAATTGACCTTTTATTTGGTTTGTTTTGTTCATCCAACAAATGGAAAAAGTATTAACCTATGGGAGGCTAAAAACTGTATTCTTCCCTTCACATAAGCAGCGTAAGTTATTTTTATTAAATATCTCAGATGTACCAAGTATGTTTTGCACAGGGGCGTGCCTAGCGATGATGTTCACCCTCCCCCTAACCCAAAAAATAAAAATAATTATTAATAAAAGTTGAGTTGACCATAACATAATATTTATGTGGAGCTTGATTAGGCTAGGTCTGGAGATAGAAACGTCGCCCCGAAAAAAATTTCTAGGGACGCCCTTGGTTTTGCATCTATCCAAATACTGTGGACAAATTAGCATTTGTTATCACAAATATTTGTTGTTCGAATAACTGTAGGTTTAATGTCACTTTCATAGTTTAATCTTATTTTTGAAAGAATATATTACAATATATTATTGTGAAAACTTAATGTTTTATTTTTTACGTTTTAGCATTTTGCGTTTTTTATTAAATACATTTTCTATCATCAAATTTAATGGTTTGGTTTTTGATCTTCTGCGTAGGTATTGTTCCCTATATCTTTTTTCGTGCAAACTTAATTGTATCTTTTTAAATATTAAGGGTGGCTTGTGGTAATAAAATATATCTAATATGTTCTTTAAGTGATAAAAAGTAAAAATTCACATAACTTTTCAAAATAATCAGGAAAAACTAAAAAAAAGATGAGTAAAAACGGGAATATTTACGAAGCTCCAGTTTTTGGCAAAAATGATTTTGTTTTTTTTATTATTATTAAACCCTTGGTAGCACACTGGCATGAACCAAAGGACAAACAAGATTAAATTACAATTTTAGTGGATTTACAAACTCTGAATGAAAATGTTTTTTAAGTTATATAGTAGTATAACGAAATATAATTAATATTACATATTTTAAATTTGGGTTTGCAGTTGAGCGACGATTATGACTTCTTTAGTAGTGGAAATTGATTGAATTTGTTTTGTTATTCTAAAATGTATAACCATAGTTTACCTACTTTAAATTTACACCAAATATTTATACTAGAATTTTATAGACATGTTATAATTTTAAAATTATTATGGCCCTATTTTCTTTTAGCTATTTATTAAAATTTTAAATTATAGGATTTGTTTGTATATATTTAAGTTCTTTGTAAGTCTTTCATACTACATACATTAATTTAAAAATATCAAAAATAAATATAATACATTTTTTATTTAAGTTTGAAGTAAAAATTTTGTTAAAATTGAACGAAGGAAAAATAATGATTTTTCTTCTAATGATTTTAGTGCAGCAATACAAAAAATTTAATCTTAGAGATTTTTTCTAGTATATTATTATTTTTTACATACAATCAAATTTTAAAAATATTTACCTAATCAAATGATTATCTACCTAATTATTTTAAATTAAATCTATTCAAGCTGTTTTAATGTAGGTCGTGGTATATTCACTTGTAAGTTAGGTAATAACAATAATAAATGATATGCTATCATAAAAATTATATATGCGATTTTTTTTGTGAAAAATTTAGTTCAACATACTTTACATACCTACTGTATTATTTATGAAAAATAAATTATAAAATATCCTTAGAAATAGAGGTTGACACTCAGTCAATGCCTAGAATCATTTTCTGAATGCAATGATTAATCATTGAGTTCAAATTAAACACATATATTACAGTGACCCACCCAATGAGGATAGGTATACTCAAAACCTACGGTACAGCATAACAACGTCTCCGGGATTTTTTTTTCAAATAATTAAAATAAATTAATATTTTATTATTGTTTTACTGTATCAATGTATTTTTAATACATTTACATATTTCATTCAATTTCATTGAATTCGTTGTCAGGTATTAACTGCACTTAAAAAAAAAAATAGGTCAGAACTTAAATAATTTGTTACTTATTTGAAATAGGAAGTATCAATTTATTATAGTTAATCAAAGTTGCAAATGGAAATACCTACATCAAAACACAGAATAATTATATTATAATGGAAGTTGTTTTTCAAATAAACATAAAGTTAATGCAATTCTTAGAAGTTAAGGATAAAATTCAATCAGGTAATTTATCTAGGAAGATATTTTTTTAATGCAATTTGAAGTTTACAAGATTAAATATAATATAGAAGAATGCAATTGGAATATAAATCGCTTGATTATAATGTACATAATAAACAATTCTTAATTATAAACCTTAAGGAATTTAAATTTAATTAAACTCTTACGTCAAATATCTGAAAGAATAAATTACAAATTATATATATCTAAGATACCTACAAATAAATAAAAAATTACAACAAAGTAACTAAAATCGTTATTCTATTTTTAAATGTATAATTTCGTCAATTTTTGAACTTCAAATGTCCATCAAAAAAATTGTAATTACTAATGTTTTACATTTTTAGGGATTAGCATGACCTACTTATGATTAACTTTGCATTACATTGTCAGCTATCAATAAACATCATATAAATAATAAATATAAAAAGTATATCAATATTATACTATTAACAGTTTATACATTTATAACTACAAAATAGTTCTCAAATTTTGTTAAAATATGAACTTTAAAAGCTTTGTAGTAAGAAAATATTGTAAACATTGAATTTTCGTTAATCTTTAATTGGTATATTATGAAAAGCTCACGGGGAACCTGATTTTGGTGTAAGTTTCTTATCCAAAAATTAAAATCACATTATCATACATTCATACATAAATCGAAAAAAAATTGAAAATTGAAAATTGAAAATAATTATAAATATCACAAAAAGAGAAAAAAAATTTCTAAAATTTTTGGTACATAGAAAATTCTCTTATGAGTATTTGATGAAACTGTCAAGCATCTACCGTTATTCATTTTTGGGTTACAACAAAAAAACAAAATTAATTTTGTCAAAAATGGATTTGTTTAGAAATTCCCGTTTTTTTCAAATTTATTTTTTATTTTCCCCGTCTAATAGGGTTATTTTGAAAAGTACTGGGGAATTTTTACCTTTGAACTATTAAAGTACCAAGCAGATGAAATGTGTTACCAGAAACTATACTCCAAGTAGAAAGTATTGAAAACATAAAATAACACATCATTGTAAAGTCAATACTTACACAAATCGCTCCGCTTAGAATTTAAAAAAGCATTATTTTAAAAATTTATAATTACTCTCACTTATGAATAAAAATAGATTAAAAGTTTGGCAATTGTTATTGGTACTATTCTTTTGTATATTAAAACCAAAATTGATATTTTTGTTCAAAATGAAAATTGTCTGATTTTTTATTAATCGTACACGTGCATCATGTGCAAATTACATATTATATCTGACATTGAGAAGCTATTCTCAAAAATTAAATTAAATTTTATTTTATTTTGTTCTTGTTTTGTCGTTTTTATTTCATCAATGTTTTTAATTAACTATTTGAGTAGTGAATATTATTCAAATTAAATCAATTGACAACAATGCAACATAATTTTGTAATCTAATTTTAATATGATTATCATAATTCATATCATATATAAAATGAGGTCATAATTTTTTTTTTTGACAGCGTTTAATAAATATTGTTGAATGACTGAATGCTAACTGTTAACCTAATATATTAGTGCCTACTACACTAATATTGTTTAAGTGTTCATCGAATATAATTTTATTGACTAATGTTTAATAATTTTCATTAATATATGTGATAAACATAACAAAATATTAAATATTATTAATTCGTGTTAGTGACGTGTTACATTTTAGTGAAGGAAGTTATGGAAATAAGAAATACTCTAAAATGGAATAGAAATAATATATTATATTTATTAATACATTATACATAAGGTATTGTTTTTTTTTTTTTTTAATAATTAATTTATGGTTGTATTAATTTTAATAACACATTACGGCTTACTATTTAATAATAAACAATAAACATACGTTGTAAAATACAAAATGCGGTAAATAATGACTTTTAAACATTGCACTCACAAAATATGAGAAATAAACTATATTTGCAACATAAACATAACAAATGTCTTAATTGAAATCACAACTTACATTTATTTATTAACAATAGACATTATCAAGTTTTAAATTTTAAATTTTAATATAATAATGGCTTGGAAGATATAAATGGCATATTATATAAATTTTACATTTTAAAACAAATCATAATTTTATTTACTTTAATCAATATTGAATTACGTTTACCGTTACTTACGCATTAATGATTAATGATAAATTAACGATATAAATTGTATATATAGTATATACACACACAAACATTTAAATGTCTTTAGAGCTGTCGGGTTCACTGGGTCTTGCCTTTTGGTTTGTAGGTTTTTTTATAAAATTTCAAAAACAAATAAAGAAACACGAATACGTCTCCCAATATGTATGCAATGAATAATTTAGAATAAGTGCAATTAAACACGAAAAGGCCGACACAATAAAGTATGCCAAATATAAATTGTATCTGGAAATTACACATTATTTGTTAGACACGCATTTATTGTTTAGGATTTTAGGAGCTGTGAATTAATGTACTTACTATTTGTACACGGGTCAAGTATTTTTTCCACCATAAATATTTTTGGAAGCTTGGCCCAAGCGCTGTTAAGAAATAGTAACTGTACATGACTACATGGACAAATGAATTAACAATGGTACCGATTGCAGCATTTTCACCTGGTGATTACATAGATAAATTAGGTATTAATGTATTATAGTACAATAATTACTCGTAGTAAATAAATGGATGATAATTTAATGCGTTAAAAATATTTTTCACATCACTTTTTAAAATAGTCATTATGTAAGGACACTGAATATCAGTTATCAAAGAAATACAAAACATGTAGAAGGTAAGTATGGAATTTTACTTTACTATTAAGTATTATTGTATGTATACTTATTTAATTGAATCAATGCATTGAGATATTGCAGCGTATAATATGGACATTTCAATTAAATTACTCGTGTGTAAGTCAAACCAACAGAAATTTTTAGGTTTTGGATACATTTAAGTTCCAAAATTTGAATTCGGGATGTTTGAATTAAATCAGTACATTCTGATAATACTTTTCTACAAAATTATACATTATTATTATTATTTCGAAATATATATTAAATTATTTTATATATATATCTTATACAATTGTTTGGTTATCAATGTTTAAGCTAGAACTTAAACAATAATTTTACAAAAAGTATCTATGATATATAAGTAGATGTGTGATGATTTGAGAACATTGTTTCAAATGAATAGAAATTAATATACTTCCAAGAAAAATCGTTTTAAAATTACAAATATTGCAATAATTTCATAGTTTTAGCATTATTATTACCTACTGTTTCTAAAAATATAGATTCATAAAAAGACACATTATTCTATGACCAGTAGAAATATTATATTTGTTATCAACTGGCTTCTACTCGTATTTAGCTTTTAAAATGCATTTATATTACTTTACAGTGTCCATAAAGATGTATAAACATCAAATTGTATGCAATTTACATAACCTTAAAACATTATATTAGTAATCCCTTGTGAAAAACCTTGAACACTAAGACAATGTATATTTTACTTTGACTTTTTAATTTTTATGTATTCATTATGTACTAACAAACAAATAATACGAGTACTTATATAATATTATTTACAATCCTTACTTTTGACAAATCGGAGATGGACAAAACAAGTGATGACCATGTTAACATGATGGTAAACATGTAAAAATGAAATGTGTGATTGTTTTTTTTTCAATACAAAAAACACCTAAAAAAAAAAAATCTATAAAAAACATTGTATAATACTATAATATAATGTTATAAAATATACATTTATCATTGAAGTAATTTTTATTTAAATAAATTTCAACTCTGAATCATGCACTTTGTTTTGTTCTAATATTTAATGTGTAAAACTAAAAATAGGATTCATTACAGACTGTAGATTTTGTATAATTAAACAAATAAAACTAGTGCTGCGATAAGCAATCTGAAAAACATATTTGAATTTTTTTTGAAGTTTACTTCAGATTGTTAATCTCACTTTTTCAAATATAATTGAATGTGATTTCAAAGTGTAAACATTTAAGAATTTTTAAACCGTATATTATGTGGAATTGAAAAGAAAAATCAAAAGAGTGAGTCAATAATTGAACTCAAATTAACTTCATAACATATTTGTATATTTTCACTTTTCTTATCGCATTACTAGTTTTGTCGGGTACGATGGATAAAAATTACTGTAGTTTTAGTAAAAAAGTCGAATATAAATTATTCAGTTAATGATATGGAATTAGCCTATACTGAACTCCTTAGAAATGGCATGTTTCCCATTAACAAATACTCCTTAAATTAACTAAGATGGTTAGATAAAATATTAAAGGACTATCCGACTAAAATATATCGATAATTTATTTTTCAAAATAAAAATAGCAATCAGTCTGAGTAACATAATAATTCTATCATTAGAATTTGTTGTGACCTTTCGTTTGCTAGTTACGGACATTTATTAGATTGCGCATCAAGAATTTTGTTGGCCGTGGCGGCGGCCAAACACACATCTTTGTTTTTGTTTTAACTCGGAATAATCGCTAAATTCTTCATTTTTTTCAAAAGGTCTAATCAAATTTAAAACAGTACCTACCGCATACATTTTCTATCACTTAATTAGATATTGGTTTAATATTTTAGCAAAATACAACGCTTGCACTACAATATTACGAATTTGACACACACATAGGTGCAATGTGCCATGTGGAATATCACTAAATCACTGCTGGAGGTTTATTTTTTATCAAAATATTCAAGTTAGTTAAGTAAAAAAACATTTACGTACTCGTACTTTTTAAAGAATTTATTTATATAATCAGTAATTTTAATAAATTGTATGTATTGAATGTTCATTTATAAAATGTTTTTTACTTACCGTGTCTAATAAGTCTATGATTTTTGAAATGGCGAAATACCATGAAGCAATATGTATCTAGAACACATAAATTATAAATATTATAAATATTTTTTTTATGTATATAGGTACACAAATAGTATAAATAAATGGCAATTTTCAAATCCACCATCAACTATATCATGCCTGTTTGATAGTGTGACATTGTATGCTGTAACAGTAACTATTAAAGGTGCATATATATTTTTATATTATCATCACGACTACTATCTCTTAAATAAACTAAGTATATCATTATACGATTGCTCGTTTTACCTATTACGGTTGTATTGCCACTATCATCGTGAAGACTTGACTAACAAGTGATGGAGAGATAGGCCAAATAAGGCGATTAGATCTAATGTATATTATACTATAGGTACTATATATTCATTAAAGCTTATAAGTTATAACTACAAATAGAGTATGGTTGTACTATATCAAAGTTATAATAACATAGTAATTTTAATGTACCAATGTACGTATTGCTGTCATGTATATTCTTCATAACATATTATTATGAATTATGTATTACCTATAGTGAAATACAAATGCACTCAATGTGAATAACCACATTTGTTACATGAATATGAAAAACAATATTATTTTTTAAGATTTATTTAAAAAATATTATTTCAAGTGTGTAATAGGGAATCAAAAAATAAGGCAAACAGTTTGATATTTTCGGTATTAATGAATTTTAATTGATCGATATTTGATAGCCGTAGACACTTGCAATTTTCACCAAATATTTTATATTAGCATTTTCCATACATGGTAAATATTTTTATCTTTTTTGTGTTATTTATAGCCATTAGATATTTTCGATTTTTATTAATTTTATTTTTAATCATTAAATTTTGTTAATTTTAAAGATATGGTAGGATAACACAACGACTCCGCTGAGAAGTAAGAATTGTTTTTAGTGTGCAATGATTGAATTAAAGTATAACCCATTACAATGAAATGATTTAAAGGTACTATAAAGCAGAGCGGTACCCATTAGTCGGTATTTAAGATATTATATAAAAGTATAAGAACAGTTAAACTATTTGTTTTATTTAAAATATAAACTTAAAATTCACAAACAATTTACTTAATTTATTAAATACAAACTAAACTATTTCGTTACTACGATGTCTTATTACTGATTTGGGTTATTGATGAAAATCTACAAGTGCAAGTTTTTTTCATGTACATTTTAAATTCTTTTTCTAATTAAATTTCTGTGTAATTTATTGGAGTGTATCGGCTGTTATATTTTCGTAGAATACTTCTACGTTAAGTTCTTTATCTATAATTGCTTCATTCACATAGGTTATCTAAATTTTAGGAAATTGTCCAAGAATTCTCTAGTGTCTATTTGAAACCGATGTATAAATACTTTAAGGACCTGATCTAAGAAATGAGATAATGGATTTGCCATTGGTGTTCTATTCGTTAGTTCAAAAAACTAATTATTGAATTGGAAGATGTTTGTTTCATATAGGTGTAGTCTTATAAAATTTAATTTTCTCTCATTTTTAATTATTTAGTGAATGGTTAGGAAAACTGTGTGTAATATCTTTTGATATTTGAAAAACATGGAAATATAGTTACCATTTAGTATTTACCAAATCAAATTAATTATTTCAATTTTTTTGATTTTTAGGTTTATTTATTTTCTAATTGAATAATATTGTTTTTTAAAGTAATTATGACTTTACTGAATAAATTGGTCACACGACTACATCTTAATGACAAAAGAAGACCCTCCTATATAATGCACTTCCTGTGGGATTCATGTCAACATAAAACATGTTTTAACCGATGGTCACACATATTATATAGGTACCCAGGAAAGAAAAAATTCTAAATTTCCGGAATCAATGGTCGAATTGCCCCATTTTCACCACCATCGAATTCATAATTTCTGCTAATCTACTCAGCCAAATTTAATATAATATGTAAATTGGTCCCAATGTTCAGTTTCTTGGAATGTTAAGTTTGTTGAATAAAATATATATTATTTAAAAATAATTATTAACCATTGATGTGACAAATGACCCTATTGATACCGTTCTTATTTTTCTAATTTATGAATTTAGGTCCTACAAATGTCTTTTATAAAATATTTTATTACTGTATTTTTTTTTATAAACGTTTAATTGTTTATTGATAAGAATGCTGGAGCTGAAAGAATAATTAAATTACCTCAAAGACTTATAGAAATATAGAATTAATATTTTATATAGTTAGAAAGTATATACAAGTAACTAATCTAAGTAATTTTATGTTATTGACACATATACCAAAAATTACTTAACCTAATTAGTCACTTTTATAAAACCAATATTAATATTGCAATGATTAAAAACAATTTTTAATACTAATTGGGAACTAATTAGGTAAGTAAAGTAAATATAAACTATAAAGTAAACAAATGTATATATTTCAATGTTAATAATAGGTACTTAAATGCTTAATATACAATATTCTTACTTCGTGTACAATGTTACTTTTGGTATAATCAGGATGACATGCATGGTTCCACAAATAATTAAAAACGTTTGGTCTAATGAATTGCTAAAATAAAAATTTCATTATAAAATAATTTAATAATCACAATCTTTTAAAATTGTCTTACAAACACAAAAATTAAATTTAAGTACTATAATAAAACTAATAAATATATCCAATGCAATAATAATATTAATGATTCAGCAATAACATTTTTGAACTGTTAATTTTTTTTTTAGAAATTGTTGAACACTTGAACACTTTATTTACACTTTGTGTTATCTATTACTAACTCATAACATGGTATTTTTGACGTCCATAAGAACCAAGAATAAAGGTAAGAATTCTATCCTAAAATGTGCAAACAATTAAACATTTTAAAATTATCATAACTTTTTTCAAAATTAAAATACAAAAAAAACCTTTGAGGCTCCCTAGATAATATTCTTACCTTTAAATTTGGGAATATATCGATTAACTCCAGTATTAAAATTAACAGAGTAAAATGAATACTTCTTAACAAAGATGTGTTATGTTAAGTGTTAGTACGACTGAGACAACATATACGGGTATAACGTCCTTAGGAGTTTTTAAGTGTATTGTTATTAAAATATGTATACCTGCACTGATACACGTGATTGATTTATTGTATAATTAGTAAAATTTAAAAATAATAATAATATAAATACAAATGATGAATTATAACTATTATAGACTCACGTAAGCCAAAATGTAGCTATTAAATATAGTCTGCATTAAGTTGTAGAATAGGATTATGTACTTAATGTTAATTGGTTCTCGGTTTTTCATTAATTTTGGACCAAGCTTGAGTACAAATGTCAAGTACAGTGCTAAAATAATGCATATTGGCCATGGCGAATCAACAAATGGCCACGAGTCAATCGTACTGTCTAAATAAAAACATTATATTAAGTACAAAATGAAATGTTTTAAATCATAACATTTATTATAGAAAAAAAAACGGCAAATATATTTTGAATACATTTGATAATTTATAATAATATCTATTTAATAGCCAACATACACTTTTAGTAGGTATTAACTAACCTGATTTTAACTCATTGTATAAGTGTTGTAAAATATGAGTATTTGTTTCATTCATGGTTTTATCACCTCTGTCAATTGTTAAACTTACTATTATAAATGTATCACCTAAAACAAAAATGATTAAGTATTAATGTGTTAGATATTATATGGCACATCACTAAACACACATTTAAAAATACAAAATATTTTTTAATTGTTAGATTGTTTTCAAAATAAAAAATTCTTTATAGGTTTCAAGTTTCAATTTAGTTGAGTTGTATTATAAATTACAGTTCATAACTTCCTGATTCCCCGAGTGTTGGTAAAACAGTAACAGTAAAATAGGAAGTATTCATAATTTTCTTTTGAGTCGACATTTATATGACTACAGAATCTATAATAGTGATTTGAGTGGTTTTCTCTACTTTAATAAACATGGCATAGTTAATTTTGCGATCTTACACAATAAATAATCTTTAATCGTATTTCTCCAAAAGTATTGTGAACTTTTCTTTATAACTTGACTCAAAGTTGAATACATTTAATGTAATGTCCCCAATGTTAGAAAAAAATGTGATTATAGAGGACGTGATGCCCGTATTTGTTGTCTTCGTCGTATATTCACATAACCTAATAAATTTACGATACCATAATTTGATATGATTTTATTAGTTTTAATGTTGGAGTGCATTTACCTATCATCAATAGGTAGATAAAAAAATTACCAGTGTTCTCCGTTAGGTTTTTTCAATATTGTAACGTGGGATGTAAGAATGTTTAAATTTCAATAAATTATATAGGTATGATGTATGTCTATAATGTTCTAATAATTCACCAGAGCACCTGACAACAGGACACGGAAAATGATATTATTTTTATGAATGAAAATTTTGATTGAAAAAGATCAATTTTTAAGTATTAAATATAATAAAACTGCATCGCCGAAAGTACATAAAAGTACTTCGTTGTGATGTCTAGGTAGGAAGGAGACAATTAACCACTAGAACTCGCCATCATGAAGGTATGTGATTGGTTATTATATTAAATCTCTGTTCACAAGAACAACAAAGCCGTGAGTATTAGTATCTCACTCTTCATACTATGGTTAATGATTCTTTGTAACTGAATACGTGAGGGTTAATTTGTTAATAGGTATCCATCCCCTTTAATTATTTAAAAGCGTTTTCATATGATATATCGGTCCAAATTTAATTTAAAAGGTGCGTATTTTTTAACGTGGCAAATAAGCCCTTTTTTAACTAGGTAATGGAAAATTAAATAATACTGAATTACCTATGTACACGAAAGGTATTTTATTGTTATCATTTTGTTCCACCATGTCTTTCTATAATATTTATTAAATATTGGTTTTAGATATAAAACGCAATATAAACACATTGTATGTGTTAATACTTATTAGTTATTATTTATTATACAGGGTATGTCAAAGTGTTTGTCTTCATCGATAATTATAATACCGAATATATTACAAAAGTTGAATGTTCATCAGTTTCATTGAGTCTGATCCATGATCTACCTATTCGTATTAAAAATATGGAGTTTTTAAATTTTAGGCAGGAAAAGAAAGGTAAAGGTATATGATACGTACTCAATAATCCTAACACGGTGGACACTCTGTATAAAATAGGTACCTATCAGTTGTGACTATCTGATTTGTGGTTATAATATATAATCGATTTGTAAATAAAACAGATCTGAGCACTATAGACATCTTATACAGTTACCCGAATATGTTATTCAGTAATATTATTGTTTCTCAGCATTGAAACATTTTTACGTCGTTGGTGGTTTCTCTCAATAGGTACATTTATTCGATTTTGAACTGTATGCTGTTGGTTGTATTCATAAATGTTAGATTATCAGTTAATTAGCTTCTGTTGTAAGCTACAGTTTGTTAGTGTGTATTTCGTTATAATAAAATGCTGCTAAAAATATTTATAAGGTGCCTGTGTAATTATAGTGTAAGGGTTTTATCGTAAGGTATGCATAGAGTAGTAGCAGTTCCCAACCTTGGGGTACTCGAAAAAAACAATTAATAATGGTGGTTTAAGCGTAATTCTATGTCCGGTTTAAATGTATGATTAAACTATTAGTAATAACAATATTGTTATCGCACATTCGTACACCTGGGTAAAAATATAAAAATTATACATTATTACATTTTATTTTATTATTGTTATTTTTTATTTAAACAGTTACTTACAAGAAAAGTTGTGTGAAAATATTTCAAAAGTTAAATGATGGGTAACGTATGTGTAGCACAATTTCAAGCTTACGGAAGAAAAAAAGGTTGGGAACCCCTGGTGTAGGGTATAAAATGATCTCTCTAAAAATACGAGTATAAATATACACCTAAATAAATGCTCACTATGATGAACTTACAACTATTCAAGTAAACATTTGTATTATTACTATTTATTATTACCTAACAAACAATAAGTTTTTAACATTTTTTTTTTTTGAAAAATAAATGTATTATATTTTAATAAAGATTTGTTTATTGAAAATGATATAATTTCATTATTTTTGTCACATACTTAAAGCCATAAACATTGATCTGTACATTTTGTCAGTTTTTCTTTCTAAAAATTGTATTTTCCGACTGTCAGTTGTATAACGCCCTCTACAAATAGTTTCAGCCTCTAGCCTAAATGGTAGCAAGTGTATACCTTGACTACATTATATTAATATGAAGTTATCACGTAGCGAAAATATCAATATTCGAACATCGAATTCATTAGTTTCAAGTAATATTTAAACAATTAGTTCTTTAGGTATTCTGTGGGAATACCTTCTGTGTATTACTTTCAGAGTTTTGGTTCCTTGTTATCTGTAATGGTTTCTTGTTACGTTCTACCTGATAGTTGGCTGTGGTGCTACCACATAAAATGGTAGGTTTATTTTGTATAATATCTAAACCTTTTTATCTAGCCATACTACTACTTAGCTATTATTATGTATTCAATATTATAATGTAATGGTGATATTAATTGTACACTTTATTTTCCATTTAACAGGACATTTTTTTTATTTATTAGATATACCTATTATTTAATTATCAACTTAACTAAGCAAAATGTCGTGATTTTTCATACATAATATCTAGTCATACAATACATATATATTTATAGCATATATATTTTTAAATTGATGGCATTATTTTGAGTACAAAAACTGATAACAGTTTAATAAAAACAGTAGACAGTTATAATATTAATTTTATTAATGTATACAAATTTAAAATACTTTAAAATGTTTGTATGGATGTAATACAATTATACTAATAGCTTATTTATTCTTATCAATTTATTAATAATGATAAAAATATTTTAGTTGATAAAATAATGGGTTGTCTCCGCCTTAAAAACGTACAACGTAGCAAATTATAAGTTAACAATAATCTATTTTATTCTGTTATTTTTAAAATTAGAGATAAAAGTAAATTATAAACTTTAAAAGTAAGAAATGTACTGTTTCAAAATAGTCATAATTTACTTAAAAATAATAATATCAATAAAAGCCCACATTGCTCGTTGTGTCCTGGATAATAATCTTACCTTTGAATTGTATAATGGGTCAATTTACACTTAAATTTAAGCTATTAACACAAAATTGGAATTACTGGACGTATAATTTGATATATTATGTGTGAGTATGGCAAAGATAATACATGTGGGTACGACATCCTCTTAAACGGTTTTTATACTGTTAGATTTTTTTAAAAAAATTATAAAACCAATTTTGAATAAAGCAAGAATAGCTGACTAAGAAGGAATGTTTTTAATTAAATTAGAATAATTTCTTAGTTTTTTTTATATGTGTTAAGTCGATTTCAAATATTTCGTCATCGGTAAAAATTAACTCCATTTGGTTATTATAATTATCTTTAAAATATTGTACAATTTAAAAAAATGGTTGCATCTTAAACAAAAATTACAAAAAGAAAGTTATATTGCTATATATTTTAAAGTTTTTGTCACCTCAATATTGTTGAAAAGGTTTTTAAACAATAATTCAAAAGACCTTTTATTGATAGAAAATACAAAAATATTTAACATAAAATTTTCCTTTTTTAAAATTTAAATTAGGATTAGGTATTAAGTTATTTTAACTATTAATAACAAGCAATTTAAAATAGTCATAGAAAAAAACAATACTTAAAGAGCTTAGTGCCTACATATTTCTTGTATTATTTAAAAATATTTGTAATTCACTACAATATATAAATAGTTAAATATTTAGATTTGAACAAGTTATTTAATCGACTTTTCAACTGTTTAAATACAAATTCCAATTCTTTAAGTTTATTTATACCTCATAAATATATAATATTAAATATAATATATTGATTTAAAGAATTAATAATTATCTTACCTTCAAATATAAAAAAAACGTGCCGTTATTTTGAATGCTTAATCAATCATATTTATTATTGTGTATAAAATTGTATAAATAAACATAAAAGTTATACTGCTAAACACTGAAATTTGTTAGTCGGATCTCAACACGTTAGGTATCCACGAGAGACAAACTTCTTAACTGAACAGTATTCTTTCCCTAGCATTGTTAATATATCAACTGCACTAAAACGTTTGCTAATTATCCTATTAATTATTTGAGTAGGTATGTGACGTAGATATACTTAATACCTAATCAAAAATCGTTGATAATAGATTGGTTACTTGTTTCTGATAATTGTTATACAATCATTTGTATACCTACTACTATTGTGTGCTTATACTATACATTATAATTGTGTTGATCATATACTTTTATAAAATCCACCTAGATTGATTTTGTTAAAGCTTGTTTAAACATTTAATGTCTGCCCGATATGAATCTTATGATGATTTGAGTTGAAAAAATAGAAAATCAATTATTTGCTGATTGTATTTTATTAAATTTTTTTTCTATATTGTCTGTTATTATTTTATAAAAAAACATTTTATTTAGTACATTTACCTACATTGATTAATATAACATTATAAATATAACTTTTTTAATATTCTACTGAACACATTTTAATATTTATTTATTTATGACTAATTTTATTATTGTTTACTTAGGTACTGCCAAGTGCCTACTAGAGATAAACTATAAAGATAACCATTAGAAGTATACATTTCTGATAATACTATGAGTATTTCAACTTCAGTTAAATTATTAGTTACCTACTAAAAAGTAGGTACTAAAAAAATGACGAATTATACTCGGTTGTTTACATAGTTTTAAATTATTATTTTTTGGAAGACATTCGATTGTAAAAATTTACGGTTCAAAATATATTATGTTATGATTAGGCAATTTAAGTCTAAGTGTTTTTAGTTTTTTATTTATTGTAACGTCCCGAAATAAATAGTAAAGATTTAAATGTGTATAGATATTAATATATAGGTACTTCACAATGAATTTAGTTGGATTAAAAATAAAAATATATTGAACATTATTAAACTATTTTGAATCATACAATTTATCTTACGTAGTCTTAGTTACTTATTGTGTAACACAAATACAACTAAATAACGGTGGTAGAAAAAATAACAACTATATAAAAAGTATGTTTGGTTAAAACCTAATTTAAATTTTGTTAATTGATATTTATAATGGACGTTTAATGAAAATTACTGAAAAATTATCAATTCAACCTCTTGAAATAAACTATATGAATACTGAGAATAATCAACACTTGGACTATGAAACTATTTGTTTTCATTTTTATAGTAGAACCCAAGTGATTTATACTTTTCACAACTTAAGGACATTGTAAGACCATCAATATAAGTGACTTGGGAAAGGAAATTTAATAAAATATTATCGAGGTAGACAAAATTAAGTCATCTATTTGTGAACTTTAATAAAGGTCTACATTAAGTTGTTGAAAATAGAAGTTCTCCATTTATGTTTTATTTTTCTGGATTCTCAGTAAACTTAAGAAAAATCATGTTGAAAAAATATTTTTTTTATGACGTTATTTCTCATAATTCATTAGTAGGTACTTATTTATAATCTTGGCATAAATAGACGGAGACATTGGCTCACTGACGGCTACAATCCATCTTGAAATGGTTAATACGATTAAAAATTAAATTAAATAATATATATAATTTACAGCAAAATTAAATTATTGTATAATTGATTATAATTGATTAGATTATACTATAATATTTTTACTGCATTTACTGGTCACAACTTACATGTTTTTAAAAAATACTAAAAAGTTGAAAACATGAACTCAAAATTATTTTTACCCACGATACTGCCACCTACATGGCTTCACAGCTACAGGTTATAATCAGTGGTTATTCCTGCTCGAATAATTTTAAATTGATCAGTGTAAAACAATTTTTAGAAACTAGTCAAAATATAAATTGTATGTTTTTTTTAAAATATTTAAATTTTTTTAACTTTATTAAATTGGTCGGAAATTATAGTTGGAAAAAACGAAATGTTTGTAATATTTTTGATAAATATCCTCCAATGACCAATGCTATTAAAGATTTATTTAAAAATTAATTTTCGTTTGATTGTTACTTATCGAATATAACTATTCAATAACAGGTTATATTCCAAGAATTATGTAAATGCTTAAAATGTAAATTGCAAAATTAAATTTTATCCACCTAGTAAAAGAAAAAATGATTGGTACCTGCTCACGTCATGTCCACAGAAAACCACATAAGGAAGGGCGTGTTTATAAAATTCCTTCTTTAAATAATTATAACTAATAATTACTATTACTATTTTATAATGCTAATTGAGTAGGTATTAGGTTCGTTAAAAGAATATATTATATGCAACTGCATTGTTGGTAATTACTTTTATTCTGATGATTATATACAGTTGTTTATATTATAAGTAATATTGTTTACCTTGACAGAAATAATTTCTATATAAATATTTAAATAATGATAGATTTTTAAAAAATATTTTCAAATATAATCAATTGTTTGGGTAAAATAAAAATCCATAAAATCACAGAAAATATTATCTTTAATTTGTATAACAATAGTTGGCAGGTAACGCGAGAGACATATTTAAGAAAAAAATATTGGGGAGGAAGCTTATTAATAGAATTGCTGCAATTTTTTTTAGTCACATGGTTGTATTTGACTCTTTGATGTACGTATTTGATGGTTCAAAATGTCTTAAGATAATCTGTCAAATTTTGTTCGAGTATGAACTATGAATATAATTAATTATAAATAAGTATATGTAAAATGTATATAATATAACTAATTACAATATATAGCAGAAACAACGCTCATGATGATTTGATTTTATCTACAGTATCTATTTTGTCAATTTTATCTTCTTTATCGTTTTTGTCAGCTATGCCAATTATATTTATTTTTTCGTCCTTATATGCGGATTTATAAAAATCCATGAACAAATAAATAAATGCAAAGAGATCGATAATTACGGTAAAGGCCAATGCTCGTGGCATGGTGCAGTCATATTTATACAGATAAGCCATATATGCTACTGCGATGAATAGTTGAGCCTAGAAAAAACAATTTAAAATTACATGATTTGTTGCGATTTTACTAGGTAACAATTAGTCATAAGATAATTTCATTTTTGGTTACTCACAATTTGTAATCGAGTCACATAAACTTTCCACCACAGATATTTTTGCATATATGGTCCAAGAGCAGCAAGGAAATAATATCCGTACATAGCGATATGAACACTTGAGTTAAGCCACGCACCATAAGCCGCTTGTTCGCCTGCAGAAGTAATTATTTATTTTATTATTAATCCAACGTGTCTAGCCCACATGGTATAAATATGCGAGATATGTTAACAATTGTTCAAACACCAAATCAATATAATATAATAGTAATTAGATAAAATAAAATTAGGTATTTTGTTAGTAGTATATTTTACACTCAGAATTTTAATTATAGGTATCTACTATTCTTAAAATTTTAATGATGTTTAAATTAGTGCGTTGATTTTCGGTTTTTGATACGAAGCACACATACCTACGTTTTTCATTATACAGGACATAATATTGTGTAATTTCAGCATAGAATTGTTGAATTCTTCACATATATTCTATACATACATTTTATGTATATATATATACAGGGGAGTTCAGTTGAACATATATTTTCTATGAAGGTATACATGGTAATGTATACCTACATGTTTTTAAATATTTTTATTACATAGTTTTAAATCTTTACAAATCAACATTTTTGAAAGAAAATTAAAAATTTCTCAATTTTTTATCATTATCATTTTTAACTTTTTAAGCAATAGTGTGGGGTTAGAATTTTAAAATCTTTATTTTAATTTTAATTTTTACAATGAAAATAAAAATGTTATCTTTCAGTTATTTACTAAACTAAATATTAAGATAGGTTACTGATTATAGTAAACGTTAATTTTTCTTAGTATAATAGCAGCCCATAATAAAATATTTAATACAAATTTATTTACTTTTAAAAAATCTTAAATGTATCCAACACGAGATTACCATTTTTGTGTGATGGTAAACATGTAAAAAAGATACATGGGATTGTTTTTTTCTCAAAACGAAAAATACCTGTAATGAATATCACGTAATAATTGTTAATAGTAATAGGTACTAGTATATTGATAATATACATAATAATGCATTATTTTAAGTTTTAATATACTCTCTAGACTTACGGTATCCAACAAATCAATGATTTTGGACATGAAGTAAAACCATGAAACTGTGTGTAGCTATGAAAATAAAAATTTAAATAAATACATTATTAAATATAATTAGTACAGTGGCGGTGACAGGCCTTTTTAACTTGGTAAGGTGAACTACAGTAAGTAATTTCACTGTCAGGCAAGTTCAGAGGTTCTAAAATAATATAACTCCTTTAATACATCCCATCCATTTTTTTAACGCATATTATTGTATAGATACATAACAGTAATATATATTTGAGTGTAAAAAAATTTTACTATACAATTTCAGATAGAGTATGAAATATGAATACCAAGCTACTATTTATTATACGATTTCTATAGTAAAATGTGATAAAATAAAGGATTTGGCATAATAAACAGTTCATCATACTACATTATTTATTAGCTCCTGTAGTAAATTAAATATATTTAATTATATTATCAAAATGTTTTTTTTGTCAATGTTATTTATTGTATGTTTATGTTTCAAGTTATTTTGACACCTGTTTGAATTACCACGACCGAATTAATTTAATATCACAGGAACACAGCTTGGTGGTAGTATTACAATAAGTCAATATTGTGTACAAAAAATGAGATTAGTTAATGCATAACATATACACAATTATTGTTACTAGCATAATATTGATTATAGATGTCATTATTATCATTGTGGTCATTAGTAGATTTATATAGGATAATAGACTAAATATGTAGGTACCTATCTACCTAGGGGAAGGAGATTGAAGGTAATTTTTGCTCCAAGTAAATCAATCATTTTTATTGAGTTTATTCTACTTATTGTGTATTGCGTTTTTCATAACTATTGGAGTTTGATATGTTAAAATATTCTTTAGACATGTTGAGGGTGTTTAATTTCTCGCCCTTGCCTACACTTGGTGTCACTCTGAACTTATGTTCATATGTCCATGTGAGTTCAAATGGAATCCACGATAGAGGTACAGGTGGAAGTATAAAATAGAGAGAGAACAAATTGTAATTAGAAATATACAAAGTGGACTGCCGATTGGCATACTGGCACGGTTGTACAAAGATAAATACAACAAAATAAAATAAATCAAAACAATTGTAACCAGCAACTCGCTGTAAGTTGGAAAGTGTAAACCCCCTCTCTCCCTCCCAAAAAAACCATTTTTTTTTGTCTAACGTAAACTGACTACGATGCGACGTGATTGGATGTTTTCACACTGCTGATGCTACATTATAAACTTGAAAACAACATGATTCGCAGTAATTTGTTTAAATATATTTATCAGGTGTACTGTACACGTAGAACAGTGCATGTAGGTATGTATATAATATATATAATTTATATTAATTCATATCCACGGTTACACAATCAATTATAACTATTTAGCACACGGTGTATGTATCAGTGTATGCTCAGAGTACTTAGGTCACGAAGCCAATATCTTGTACGTACTATAATAGGTACTCGTTGTAATCGTAGGTATATACTGTATTGGTATATAGGTATATACTGCAATGTACAGTAAAATGAACTCATACCGGAACCTATCGTCCTGCTTGTTATATATAAGCAGTGTCTCGTTCTAACCGACGACGTTCGATGTGGACATTTCTAATGTATTATAGGTATATCTGCCTGCACGCATCAGTTAGGCACCTTAAAGTTATATTTTATAATTTCAATACTGTAGAATAGGAATAAGTATTAATGAATCACAATGAAACAACCAAAATGGATTTTATTAAAAACTTTATGGTGTGCCGTAATTTATTTTTTATCTTTACGATTTAGTATACTTTGCTAGTCGTTTTTATTACAATGTTGATTATGAAACCAAAAAATGGCTTGTTCAAAACATGTTAACATAAAGTTTAGTAAAGTTCATCGTCACTGGAAGTCAGACACGGTCATTAAAAGAAAATATATTGTTCACAATTTTACACATGTGTGTGGAAAAAGCTAATGAAATATGAATTGAGGTAGAGTTACATCTTACATGTGCAAATTAGGTTTTAACTAGTTAACATTTTCAAATAAGATATAAATGTTAGGTACTTGAAACTTAAAAGTTGTTTTGTAGTAAACAAATTTAACCAACTGCAGGTCTAAAAATTCACATCATTGTAATGTATATACATTTATCGCTCCACTAGGATCATCACTTTCATGGACATATCCCTGTATAATATTTAAGTCACTGTTGTAGTTACCGAGTTTGGGCCGGGAGTGTGGAATATTCGCTTATTTCATACAAGGATAAATAATTTTTATCACATATATTCTGATCGTGAGAAAATAATTTCAAAATTATTACATTTTTTTTTATTATTGTCAATTTCAGCTTTTGAAAATATTTTGTAAGACTGTATTTAAGTGTTTTTTTAATGTATTTTTTTATCAATAATAATGAATAAAATAATATACTCACACATTTTATTAAATATCTCTCGTGTTGTGTTTCATTAGTGATATGACATAGGTGAGTAAATATATACTTTGGTATGCCAGGAGTCAACAGTATCTAAAATAAAAAATATAAATGTTTAAATATAAACTTAGTTTTTTACGATTTTGTCGCATGGTGGCTAATGTTATTTATTTTAACACCCAGGCTCCGGATATTGTCACTTTCATTTTTCAATTTTATTACTTATGGGTGAGAGAAGAGATACATTATGTTTCCTGTATTGATAACTATAGCTATGTACACACATAATAACTTATGACACAAGTACACAACATATCTCATAAAAACAGTCTTTATATTATAAATCTCACACATAAATACATTTGCTTAAAAAAATGTATTCCTATATTTAAGATTTTGTTAAACGGTAGATACTAACACATTTACGAGAACTAAAACCACATTTCGAAATATTATTTATGATTTTTAGTTAGAGATATTTATAAGCTATCAAAATACCTAATTATATCCATATATAATGCAATTTAATAATCAGTATCAACTTAATCCTAAAGTGAGTTCATGTTATAGTTTCCTCTTTAAATTTTATAGTAAAAGTAATAATTTAAGAGAATATGTTTAAAGTGTTCATCAAGATTCATATTATTATTATGATTGTTTAGTATTTTAATAATTGTGGCTGAGTTAATTTGTATAAAACAATTTTTTGATGTGACACATTTTCGTGAGTACAAAATATGTGGGTTGTAACTTAATTTGTTTGTAGTTATAGACGACGCCCTATATTTTTTTATCTTTGAATCTGCACAACGCACTAAAAAATGCATTTCGGGTGTTTAAAATAGCGTTCAGAATTTTTAATTACTTAAAATATTTAATTTTGTTGTGAGCATACTATAAAATAATTATCATCATATACACACGTGTAATATGTATCTCAAAAACTTCGCTAATATTTTACTGTCATTTATCATTATTAAATTAATACAATAATTACAATTAAAACCATAAGCAAACAATTGAAATTGTTCACTACAGCTGTTTGCTGACTAACATGAAACATGCCTATAAATATTCTTGGAATTTAAAAAACGTGGAGGCTACACAATGTTATTGTTAATTAGGCAGGTACTTAAAAGAAACATGATTTTTGATTTTGATTTATAATTTATCAGAAGTTATTCTCAAGTATTTGTAGTCAGTATTATTGTGTATTTATTTTATAGTTAATGATTCGGTGTTTCATCAACGTCTGAACAATTATTACAGTAATAATTGTGTTTTATATAACATTTTCCTAGAGTTTAATTTTAAAAGAAAAAAGTTTATAAAGGAAAATTTTTTAGAATTTTAATAAAATTTGAATAAGTATAAACTTTCGTTCGCCGCAAACATCATTGAGTATTTAAGTTCAAGTATTTGTTATAAAGACTAAGAAATAGTTCAACGTGGCGTAATTAAATATAGAATTCATGCAGTACTTATAATTTTAAATAACCTTGAAAGATTCTTTAAAACTGTAACTGTTTAGTATTTGTAATACTAAATGTATTTTAAACATAACAATTATCTTCGTAAAATATTAAAATATCAACTCACCCATAAACAAAGGAGACCGTTGTAAGAGAATTGTAGAAAGTTGAAAACCAGAATGACATTAGTAATGTTGTATGGTTGTCGATTCTCCATCATTTTGGGACCTATTTTCATTACGAATAATAAGTACACAATGATTATCCCAAGCACTGGCCATGGCTTGTTTACGAATAACCATGAATCGATTTCTTCATCTAGATAATAATACAGTTTTTAATATTTAGTTTCCTTTATGCTAACATGTACCTATTTTTATTATTTTAACACATTTGAATGTTTTACATACATAATATGATAAATGTATGAAACCTGAATACTATTGCCTAAGTTTTAAAGTTGACTTATTTAAACATAATAAAAAATAATTAGGAGCAGGTATCGTGGATCTGCTTAAAATTCATGATCTGTATGTACATTTAAAAAAATTGACTTTACAAATCATTGCTCACCGTATTTAACTTCACTTTTCACGAACTCTTTGAGAGAATCTTTTGTTTGAATTATGTAGTTAAGTATAGATGTACACATTTCCTTCATTTTTGTTTTATATTCACTTTAAATTAAATCGTTTTTCATCAATATTAAGCGTAGATTCTTGAACAGAAAAAATATATTTATATCGATTAATATTACAAAATATAATGATATCTGAACAGTATACATTATGTAAAACTCGTTGCAATGAATAATTACAATTTTTATTGAAAATATCTCCATATGAAATAAGTGTTTAAGTTATAATGTAAAATTACTTACTATTTTAATAAGCTTTTACATTACTTATCAAATACAATGCACAAATGTATTTAATTCAAAGTAGTTACCTTATTTCTAACTAAAACAAGATGAATATTTTTTCAGGCTCTTAATAGAGGATAAAATAATTAATTAATCTAATTGATGTTAATTGTACTATGATATAAATGGATTTTGAACAATTTTTTTTCGGTTAACAAAAAACAACCGTGTTGTTTACTTCTTGGTTATGTCTACACGTCGATAAATTTAAGACAAAACACTGCTTTCGTTATTAGAACTTCATATTCTTCTCGTGAACTATTGTATATTTATAATTAAATTAATGCGCAGTCACGAGCGTGTATTGATTTAATTTGTTCAACGCATTTGACGAACTATAATACCAGTTTTCAATTGGGTATTCACTTTTGGTTTCAAACGGGTAAATCTTGGAACCATACAAATGCTTAAATATAGTAAAGCTTAAGTTTGAATGTCAATAAATGCGAGGGAAACAGGCAAGCTTAAGACCTCTAGAAGAGGCCCAGTAGGTACTCGATATTTGACTACGAGTCCCGCCTTAACCCTTTCAGGCCCAATGATAACTTTAAGATTCATGTTTTATAATTGTATCTGAAATAAACCTCAATGCTCATAGATAACATTAATGCTTATCATTACATAGAGAATTTTGTGCCCTTTCAAACGGTCACACTGGTTGTCATTGTTATTATCATATTTGGTGAGAAAAACACATGTTTATTTGTCGTATTTCATAGTAACGGATAAAGACCAAAACTCAATTTTCAAACTGATGTTTAGGTAAGTAATATTGATTTAATTTTCATATTAAAAATATTGAGTTAATAAGAACTTGTTTTTGGATCGTTATAACGCAACATTTTATAACTTACGACTTTTTTTCATAAGATATAACAAAGTAAATAATATGATTCTTATTGTTCTCACTGGGTAGATAGAAATATTTATAAGTATTTAGAATATGGATGCCATGTCCCAATGATAACTATGGGAATCATGTGTATTTTTCTCAAATAATCAACTTCATGAACAATATTTTTTTTAGAAAAATGTCTCGTATACTATCTGATGACATAATTGCTGATTTATTGAATGGAGATGTATCTGATATTGAGGAATTTGATGAAGGAGACGATATTTCATATGAAAATTTAGATGAGTTACTATTGGAATTTCCTGATACTGTTGAAGTAATTATAATTTTTGTACAAACTTTTAGCTTTTACATTCCATATAAAATTAAGAGAGTAGAAATTGTACATTGATTCAACCATATTGATATATTTTACATTATAGAATAGTAATAACATTGTATTTGAGGAGATTGATGAAAACATTCTGCAGATTAGAACACATGATGTTCCAGAGATGCAAACATTGGATGAAAATAATGATGTGGAATCATTTTATGAAGATTTTATAAGACAGCCAAAATGGGAAAAGGTATTATAAATTGTTTGCATTATACTTTAACAAACTAAGTATTAAATTCATAAAATTATTTAGGTTCTTTGGAACAGTTCAAATCATAAATGTACTGGTAAATTACCCAAAGCACATAATATTTATTCACCATATGAATATTTTAAACTATTTGTTGACCAAGATATAGTTGAAAATATAGCCAATCAAACAAATTTGTATTCAGTCCAAAAAACAGGAAAATGCATAAATACTTCTTGTGAAGAAATTGAACAGTTTTTGGGCATAAATATGTATGTATAACTATTATTGTTGATATTCTATTTTCTAAAAAAATATTGGTATTTTTTTTAGGTATATGAGTATAGTAAAAATGGCATAATATCGTATGTTTTGGTCCAATGAAACTCGTTTCCCTACAGTAGCTGATACAATGTCGAGAAATAGATTTGATAATTTAAGAACTTTTTTTCATGTTAATGACAACACTGAAATGCTGCCACGAGAACAAAAAGACCATGATAAACTGTTCAAAGTTAGACCGTTTTTAAATTATATTCGCAGTAACATGAGGAAGATACATGTAGAAGAGTTTACTTCTGTTGATGAAATTATTATACCTTTCAAGGGAAGGACTCTTATGAAACAATATAACAAAAACAAGCCACACAAATGGGGAATTAAGTTATTTGCAATTGCATCAAAAAGTGGTATTGTTCATGACTTTGAAATTTACATTGGTAAAGGAACTTTACCTCCATCTGAACACGGTTTAGGTATAAGTGGTGATGTTGTTATGAGATTATCTGAATGTATTCCAAAAAATGAGAATTATAAGGTAGTGTTTTAATATATTGTTATACTTATTTTAAATTTGATTGATTTTTTTTATTGTAGCTCTCCATGGATAACTGGTTCAATTCATATAATTTACAATGCAAATTAAAATATGAAGGTATTTTGAGTGTTGGTACTGTGAGGTCTAACCGTATTGCTGGTTGTCCATTAGAAAACGATAAGACAATAAAATCAAAGGGACGTGGATATTTTGATTACTCTGTTGATACCGAAAACAAGATTGTAGTGACAAAATGGTTAGACAACAAAATAGTACATGTTATATCAAATTATAAAGGACCACTTCCTGTGGAAAATGTGAAAAGGTGGTCAGTAGCTCAAAAACATAATGTGGAAGTCCCCAGACCAGCAGCAATTGGAGAGTACAATTCTTACATGGGTGGTATAGATCTTCATGATATGCTTGTAGAACTCTACCGTGTTAATATAAGAGTTAGACGGTTTTATTTACGTATAATATACCATTTATTAGACATGTGTGTTGTGAACTCGTGGCTCTTATACAGGAGACACTGTAAGCAACTAAATATGAAAAAGTACATAAGTCTTATAAAATTCAAATCTGAAATAGCACATGCATTACTATTGTCTGGAAAAAACAAACCCAATAAAAGAGGTAGACCTTTGTCAACTACACCACCAAAACCAAAAAAAAGATTATTTACTCCAAGACCCGTGGATGATGTAAAATATGACGAAACTGCACATTGGCCAATTCCTATTGATAAAAAACAAAGATGTAAACATTGCATAAACGCATATACCACTATGACATGTAATAAATGTAACATGCATCTCTGTTTGACAAAAAGTAGAATGTGTTTTATAGCTTTTCATCGTAAACAGCCGTAAAATAAAAAATAAAATAGTCCACAAAAAAATAATAATAAAAAAACAAACATATTTTATTTAATTATTTTACTATTTTGTTTATATAATTTTAAACTGTTGAAGTTATTTTTTTATTGTAATATTTATGTAATGAAAGGAAAAACTCATAAGACTGAGGATGAAACTTCCAAATTCCAATATCTTTTTTAAGTTGTTTTGTTTGAATTTTAAAGAAAAGAGTACCTAGTTGATTTTTATTTGATTGTTTAATTTAATCTATTCAAATTAATTTTTTATTTTACTATTATGTATTGAAAAGGAAAAACTCATAAGACTGAGGATTAAACTTCCAATATTTTTTTAAAAATTGTTTTGTTTGAATTTTAAAGGATAGAGTAGTTGATTTTTATTTGATTTTATAATTTAATATAATAATATATATTAATTATGTTTCATTTTAATAAAAGAAATTTTGTTTTTGAAAGTGTTCATTATGTGTTCTTTATATGCCCAGTGATTATTATATGCATCATGTTGGTACTTAAGTCATTTAATGATCGAAAAATCTGAAAAAAAATTTTTTACCTTTATTTAGTCCCAAATATACCAAAAACCAAAAAAAAAATTTTTGTTTTGAAAAATTGTCATGCCTGGGCCTGAAAGGGTTAACGATAAAAGAAAAATACTTCACGATTCTTGATATCAAAGATTTATACATTGTAACATGCCATATACATAATAAAATAAAATATTGAATTTAAAGCAAAATAGTAGAATGTTCTCCGAAATCCAAAATATAAATGTATACATCGATACCCCAACATGGTATACAATGCACATGTATAATATAGTGTGACAATTTAGTTTTGCCCTTGTTTTGGTATTTGAAAATATCAGAAACTTCCACCTAATAATTATATTAGATTAGGTTTTTAAACATTCAAATACACTTTATTGTTATTATTATTTAAGGGTTGCTATTTATTTCTACAATTATTTACCGCTCGATGATTATTGATTACAATAGATAATTAATAGTGTTAACATTTAACAAATACTGTGCTTAAAATAATTGAAATGGATAACCTCAATTATAGGAGGTACGTACAATATAACATACAATATTGTATGCACACACAAATAATATCCGAATACACGTTTTAAGATTCCAATTAGGCACTATAGCTAGTGAACTAGTACATTATAAAATAGGGTGTAGGTATTGTATAAGTTGTGATAAATCATTCATAAATTGATAAATTTTATTATTTTAAGTCAGTATTTGTTACACGATGATAATGTAATTCCATTGATTTTATGGCCAGTAACAAAAGAAAATACACGTGTTAAAATTTAAAAACGTATTGTTTTATTTTGATTTTAAATGAGTTGCAATGTGCACTAAAATAAAAGATTATTTTTATGGAATACATAAAAAACGTCAAACATTGTGTAAATAATATGTAAATTATATTACACTATTGTATCAATAAATTGTATAACTTCGAACCAATGTGCCATACATTTTTTTTTTTAATAACGAAAATTGATAACAGATATTTTATATAATATCTTCTGTTAAAAATATGTTTCATTACATGAGATGATTGTGAGTAATATATGTAATTTTTCACTTGTATCCTCTATACTTTTCAGAATTTGATAATAAAATGTATTTCTAAACTTTATATTGGATTTACGTATTAACTATAATTATAAAAAAAAACACCAATACCTATAACATAGAGTTGAACAAAATGTTTTCTTTTTTAATCAACATAAATTAAAAACCATGACTTCTTTATCGTTTTCTGGGATTATTTAAGACTTTTTACTAATTTAAATTCTACATTTTTTTTTATCGAACATGTTAAAAAAACTTTTTAATTAGATTTTTAATGTTTTTTGTACGTATTTACTGTTAATTTTATATTTTTATGTGTGTGGGTACTATTAACGAAGATTAGTGGAAGTCATTAAATACTTATAAATATGTTGGTTGAAAAACAGGATTTAATGCACATATATGGAAACTTGATTCACTATGTAAGTTATTTTATTATTAGGGTTTTTTGAAACGCCAAACATACTTACTTATTTATTTGAAAAATATTATTTTTATTCATATTTCTGCGTATTTATTTGTAGCATTATTTAAATTAACTAAATAATGGTTAGTATATAGGACGTAAGTACAGTAGTTGGTATCTATTTTTTCCCTTGTGGTTTCTTTCACCTCAGTTGAATCTTTTATTAAACAATAATTAGCAGACAATTATTTAAAATACAAATAAAAAATATAAATATTATACACAAACATAATACACACTCCGTGGTGGTCAGAGCCTAAATCATTTGAATATGATAAAAAATAAATGTTTAACAATAGGTTAGTATCATCTAATCTGCTTCTCCACGAGTTGCTTCGAATGCTCTTCGTCCTTCTTGACTGACAAGATAGCCTTTACCGATTTATAGAACACTCTGTATGATTCTCCAGCCTCTTGCAACACCATAGCCCTCTCGGTTATGTTAGTGGGAAAGATCCGAAAACACAGGCCCACCGAGTAGATCTGGCATATCGACTACAGTCAAAGGATGCCACTTGACGTGTATGTCAGCCTTCATTCCAGCCCTATTTTGGGCATTGGAATAAAGTGTGTTCAACACAATAATTGGTATCTACCACGCACAAAACGATCATTACTACCAACTTTTACTTAAGTTTTACTTAAAAACGACGTGAAGTTAATGGATGATAATTTAAGCTTCAAAATATCTTAACGTGTTAGCCTTATACTGCCAAACAATATATTTTTTCAATCACTCGCACACTCTTGTAAGGTTAGATTATTAGGTTTAAGTCAGACTATTAAAAAAAAAAACGTTGGCTTAAAATTATTGATTAATTGTATCTGCTTGAAGTAATGCTCATATATTTGGGAATCTTCGCTCAACACGTGTTTGTGTGTATTATACTGCCCTAAGGATATTTTACCCGCAACCACTCTTCGAAAACAAAAATGTTAAATTAACAAAATACACACGGACATGACCATCGATATCTACAATGAACAGAAAGTTGACGCTCTCCTGTAAACAGAGGACAACACGCGATAAACAAAAGCCATTAGGGTCACCAACTAAAGTTGTAAATAAAAGCATCAAGATACAATCTGTTTTTAAAATAATCAAAAGCTAAATTTTTACTTGCACAAGAAAATAAACTATATCTGTTGTTATCAAAAATGTACAAATGTCAATAATGTCAATATATAGGCAAGACGGAGAAGTGAGCAATTTCAGTCATTGACGTCGGTACAAGCCAGCTGCAAATCGCTCAAGACTGAAATCGTCTTCCCACTTAAGTCTGTTAAAATGGGAATGAAAATGTTATTATAGAGTAGTACTTAACAAAAAATATTCAAGAACTAGTGTTGTAGCTAAAATAATTCAGGACCCAACTAGTGTAGTACTTACAAAAATCCGGGACCGAACTAGTGTGATACCTACACAAATCCAGGACCCAACTAGTGTAGCAATTTTAAATTTAGGAACCAACTCAGATGCAGCCAAGTTACTGAGTATAAGCACGATTTTATAAGCACTAATATACTTCAATACTTAGTCTGTATATCAGTGCGGTCATTTGTTATGTGGCAAGGTGGTTTTCTCCTGTCTGATTATAAAAGCAACCCGATAAGTCAGTGATCGATTGTTTCAGTTTAACCATGATCACATTTTATTAGCTCAAAAACATGTCTATTTTTATAATATTTTGTGGAAATATTTTGTTGTGTACTAAGACATAATATTATTACAATGATAAATTGGTAATTACTCATTAATAGTTGGAATAATTATTTATATTTAGACGCTTGGATGTGCTTGAAATTTGGTATGTGTCTGTTTTATGAAGGTATAAGGAAACATAATAATGAATTAACGGACATGCGTTTGCTAGCCGTTTTTTATAAATCACTCTTTTAGGCTGGTCAAAACTTTTGCCCCCTATTTTAAGAACTGAAATATCGCCACTGCTGTCTATACATCATAATATACTTATAAATGTATAACTATATTTTTATATAAACATTCTTGAGCCTGTGCATATTTTATAAATTACTAGCTGATTCAGTGAACTTCGTTGCCCGCTAAAAATGCCAACTATACATGAGGCTTGGTGGATTACGGACCCCACCATAGGTACTCTATATGAATAATATGTTATATTTTATTTTTTATTTTCTTATTGAACCGTCTGCGAAATGTGAACTAAAAATGATAAATTAACTATTTTATATGAATATAATTTCAGACAGATGCATCTGTCTTAAACACGATAATAGCGATACACTATAAGCGTGATGCCTTGAAGAAGGGAAATAAGGATTCATTTATGTGTATATATATATATAGATAAATTGTCGAATTTTACTTCTCTGAACAATTCATCTAAAAAAAAGACATAATTTGACGGAAAAAAAGGTCAGGTGTTGCATGTAGCTATGGAAACCCATGGACAAGCCGTGATATGCAATATGTATAATGTATATGTACAATTTTTCACTTAAAAAATTAATTTTTTTCCGATTTCAGCCCCTTTAAAATCAAAATTTTGAAGAATCGATCCTTAGAACAAGGTGAAATTATTATATTAATCTATCCTCAAAATTTCAAGTCGATAACTCTAATAGGTTCGGCTCTGAGTTGATTATGAACCAGAAGAACACTTTCCATTGTATATATAGAAGAAGATTAGGTATTATTTAGTATTATTTTATTATTGACTATTGTATGTTTTCAAAAAAATAAAATTAGTATGTAGTTTGTCATTTTGAGGGACAATTTTCATTGACAAAAAAACTGTGGGCCAGCTGACCTTTCAAACTCTCTCTTGTGTCTGCCCCTGACGTCTATATTTCATATAGAACAGCATGGAAGTAACCTATCTTCCAGTTAGCATCCAGCATGCATATTTTAAATTTTCATTGCAGGTGTGACAAAATATTATGAAAGCTTGCACAGAATATCCAAAATACCCCTAACTCTATTATTTGGTAACGCTAAACAAAAACTGTATATCCAATGAAGACCGTATCCAGAAACATATTTATGGGGGGGGGGGGTTGGCCCTCCCCTGGCTACGGCCTTGTATCCAATAGCTTAGATATTTATGGTATTCCAAAATAAAAATGTAAGCAAGTGCATACTGCAACAATCACCTCAAATGCATAGACTGACACCTGCAACAAGAGTCTTGACCTTCCGGCAAGATATGCAATATGTAATGTCATAATGATAATCATCCCATCAACTGCGATAGATGTACAACTTCAAAAATCTGTTGCAATTATCAAAACAACAACCACTTTTAAAGAAAGTTTAAATAGTAAAATCAATAGTGTGTCAAATTCATTATCTAACAGCACCCCGCACTCGAATAATATAAATAATAGCCGTACTTATTTTCTGCAGGCAACAAAACTGAACACAAACCAAACGTACACACACAACAATGAATATTTACTTGAACAAACATAACAAAAACATAGAACCACAAATTACCTTCTTTCCAATCGAATTTACAACTCTTATAAGCCCACTCATCTAACTTTTAACAGAATATTACTAAAAAATGCCGACTAAAATATTAAAATAAACACTCCCTTATTAATACTAGCAGACTAAACTGATATAAAAACGAACTATTTACAATGCCTACTAAATGATAAAACAATTAATATTGCACAGCACAGAATCACACTTAACTCCGAATTCAAATTTTTATAAGCCATGTTGTTGACACACCAATATACCACCCCGATGGATCTGCTCATTAAAAATAGGTTTTGGTATATAGATGGATAGGAGGAAATGTCATAGAATCGTATTCTACTCAAACTCTCTAAGCTATTTGTATCACTATATTATATTATTGTTGTCATATTTACATATTATACTTCTTGTAAAGATCGTAAACAATGTTTTATTAAAAATAAAATCGTATAGCCTGTTGGAAATCAGGTACGTTGCATCTTTACAATATAAAACATAGCTCTAATTGAATTTCAATAAATACAAATGCTGGATTAGTATTAAATTATAAATAACAATTATGCATTATTTAAAATTTTATTTTACAAAAATTGATTATAAATATGATAACTAATATATAAATAGTCTCACAATAATACAATATTCTAAAACTAATACTGGTAATTCAGTAATTGAATAAAGAATGTAAGCTATCCACTAAGTATTTATGAAGCTATTATTACGGGTTTAAACATCAAATATTTGACTATATTTTGAACCATACGTATAAACCATATATTATAGGTATATCGTATATTTATATATATATTAAGAGATATTAATGAAAACAGATATAAGGCTTATAAAATTTGAGCTGGTCTTTAAAATATATGCACTTCCTTAAGTTATTTTAATGTTTATAACTCAATAGTTTATAATTGTACAATGTTTTATTGTAATAAAGGTAATCAGTTATTTTTTAAGAAACCAATTTAATTCCTTATAGAGGGAAATGGTTGTACTTTTAAAAATTAACTATGATACATTTTACAAAAATATATCAGTAATTTAAGCAATGCTAAAAATATCAAACACTGAAGTAATATTTTATGATCATAATCATGACTCACAGAATTTATCATTATTTTTAAACTTTTAAATGGTAAGTGCTATTGAAATATTATATTAGAATACAGCTACAACATATTTAGCACATCATGGGATATTCAATATTCTATGTGTGGCCATCTCATAATTTATGATATTTTTACAATGCGTATTTATATCATTTTAATAATAATCATAATTTTAGCTTACATGTTGTAGGCGAATAATTATTTTATAATGATTTTTAAGTAAGTGTTAGAATGTCTTGAAATTGCTATTTAAGACAAAATTGCTTATTATAAATTTACTATCAAATAATAAATCACATAAATACATACATTTTTATGGATCATTAAGTTAATATAATATGAAAATTACTAAATATTGTAGATACATATGACACTATGTTTATAATATATACAATACCTACACATTTTTTCAAATATAAAATAAGTCATAACATTTTAAATATTGTAATACATAAATTATAAAAAGATAAAAAAAAAATATATAAATACATGGTATTTAGACAATTACTGTCCTCAGCTAGTTGGAATTAGAAGTCGATATTGCATATGTGCATCTAAGCACAAAAAGTCCTTAAAATACTAATGACATAAAATGTATGAGTAGTTGTTCCACAAATATATTATTAATATAGCAACTACCTACATTATATGTCGCAGTGTAATTCTTTTGATTCTACTTGAATCTTACAAAACATATAATGCAAAGCAACCTTATTAATTGTACTTATTCTAGGAATAAACAAAACCATTGTAATGATATTGATAACACACAATTTTTTAGAAAATCACATTTTCGCAAACAATGAAAATGTAGGCATTTTTTCTTGTTCGTTCAATTTACGTGTACTTTTGATTTGAGCTTTTGTTGTTCGTACGTTCTTTTATAGAACATCAAAAACAAGTACAAAAATAATGTAACATCAGCAATCACGTACAGCATAAATAACCTCGGAAAATTGCAGTTGAATGAGTATAGGCCAGCATTATATGCCATGATCGATAGGAATTGAATCTAAAATAATGTCATAATATTATTGGTTAAAATAATTTTATTTTCAAAAATACAAGAATATTTTAAAATCAAATAATTGTACTTACAATTTGCATACGAGTCAAGTATTTTTTCCACCATAAGTATTTTTGCATATGGGGGCCCAAAGCTGACAAAAAGTAGTAGCTGTACATAACCGTATGAATGAATGAGTTAATAATTCCACCAAATATCAGTTGTTCTCCTAAAAATACGGTTTGATCATTCATTATTCAATATGTCTATTTATTTAATTACTAAACGATTTATTCTTGCTGTCTAATATAAGCTGCAACTTAATTTAATAAAGAATGGAATATAGGTACATTTGAATATGTAGGTACCTATTATACAACGGTAACAATATTTTTCTTTTAAAAAAGATAAAATAAATGAGCTTTTTTTAAAAAAAGGGTGATAATTTAAAAATTTAACATTCATTATATCAAAAAGTAAAGGTTTTTTAAAATATTTTTGTACACACCTAATTGAAATCATTAAAAATCGACATTTTTGAAGAAATAATATTTTTTCTCGTTTTCATTGTTTCTGAAGTTTTTACTTATTTATTTATCAACATTCAACATACATTCTGATATATTTTTCAAAGTATTTCAATAGATAAAAATTGATATTGAATAAGTAGGTTGTTAATAATTATAAATATTTAAAGTTTAAGTAACCGTAGTATTGTGGCATAGGGGTACCTCGAGAAATATTGGTCCACTACTTCACTTGTCGAAACTTTAAATATCCATAGCAAATTATCTACTTGTTCGGGTCAATTTTTATACTCAAAAATTCTAAAAAAATATTCTGATTCAAATTATAAAACTAATAGTAATTTTAATAATAATAAAAATTAAAACAAGAATGAAAATAATGTAATTGAACATGAATAGCTTTTATAAAAAGCTAGACGAACTAAAGATACGAATATCTGAAATTTCACCCGAAATAATTTGCTTACAAGATATTAATTTTAAAAATCTAAATACTGCAAAACCCTCCAACTACAGTGGACTTAGAAAACACAGAACCACTGGACTTAGGGCCAGTGGTGGAGTAACATTATTCATTAAATCAATTAAATCCATATATCCCTCTAAGCAAATCTCTATCTCAACATATCTCAATCTTAGAAAACGACAATCTGGTACTGTTTAACATTATTTAACCAACGTGTACATATACATCCAATTAACGATATATTTTAAAATACTGACTTGTCATTCACAAATGCATTCCTCTCACAAAGCCTCAAACAATATTTTCGTATATTTTGCAGAGTAAATAAAAAAACTAACTTAAACATCTTAAACACTTATGAAGTAATAATAGTCAACTGTATAGATAATCAAGTTGGTAAATTTTCTTTTCAGTTTTCATGTAGAAATAATGAGTCAACAATATCCAGTCACTATAACCACAAAAAAAAAAAAATGAAAAGTTAATTATGTTTTTAACTAACCATAAATTATTACAACTGTCGATTACGCTGACTACAGTCTGCAAGTTGTCAGCTGCGGGCTGTGTAATCTGACCATGTATAGTATAATATTAATAAATAATATACATTTAATATCGATATATTATCGTTGTAGTGCAATTCAAGCAGCCGTGGAGCCGCGCAGAAAGTAGATGCCAGATACATGTCCCTACAATTATTATGACTAGTTTTAGGTCTTACAATCGGATTACCTATTGTAAAAATACATTTTAAAATGTAAAATTATTTGACAAATGACTATAATTTTTAATTGTTACAAAATTTAAATTTAAATAAACTTTGATCCCAATTATTTTACTTTAGTCGGATATTATGATTTTCCTGACTCTTATTTAAACAGCAACAATTTGGGGGGTGTGTGGGTGACCCAACACACCACTCCCTCGGAACGGCCCTGTTAATTACTATGTGTAAAATATTCTACTTCTGTAAAAAAAAAAATAAAAAATATTTTTACCTTTTATGAACCTTAGGTAAGCCCAGCAAGTGATTACCATGTTTACATGATGATAAACATGTAAGAAAGATACTTGCGACTGTTTTTTCCTTAAGACAAAAAAAACCTGTAACGTGATAAATAAGTAAATAAATTATTCCATAATAGTAATAACTAATACGAATTGTCAGGTAAAATAAATACAATTTCTGTAGACAAAATTATAATGGTTTCATAATAATTGAATTGTACTTATATTTTTATGAGGAAAGGCATTTACAGTTTATAATTTAGCTGTTCATAAATTATTGAATTAAATATTATAATAATATGTTTAGACTTACGACATAATTTACTATAATTCATTAACTCTTGCACATTTTTTTGTTTTACTTATTAGTTATTGCACAATGCGTTACAAAAATATAAATAAGTGTGAAGTAAATGTAATAAATTAATTATTTACATAAATATGTACTTAGAGATACTACAGGAATTGGATGGACTTCAAATGATTATTGAAATCTAATATTCGAAAAATAATATACGATATCAATAATTATTACCTACTACGTTTGACTTGAATATTAGTTATTACTTATTAAAGTGAATTCTTTGGTATTATTATTAAATCAATGTAATATGATGCTAAATTAATTCAGTACAGAAATTAATATCAAAAATAGTGAGTGAATATGTTTGATTGTGTGAATAATATAAAAGTTAATGTCTGTTTTTTCATATTAAGAAACTAATATACTATTTTCTGAATTTATTTACAATTTCATATACTCGTAAACAATCATTTATTAAAGATTCAATAACCAATTTAATATTACTTTTTATTAGAATTTAACATACAAATTCTAAAACACATGCATATTTATTAAAATCTGTATGATAAAACGACAAGAAAATAATTTGATTTCAAAGGTAAGTTATTTAATAGTTTAAAGAGTTATGTTTAATAACACTTACAGAAGGAAAAATGATACCTTCTGATATTTTATCTAAAAGTATAGTTATGATTTTTTTAAATTAAAACTTTGTTTAAAAATTGACTTCCACAAATAATATATTGACTTACAAGATTAAAAGTAATTTAGAATAATATATAAATAATATATACAAATGAAAAATTAAATCATGTACCTCGGATGGTTCAAGAGTAGTACAATGGAGACGACAATATTTTTTGAGACAAGAGAACGTTATTATGCATTTCTTAGAAAGATTCCAGTTGTAAAATCAGAGTTGAGGGGGGGGGAAATATTGCTTTATCAGGTGGCAAAATGAGGTGGGATCGTTTCCCAGTGTTTAAGCTATAATTTAGTTGTACAAACTCCGTGGTTGGTAGTGAAGTCAGACCACAAAATGTTAGTACATTTGGGTGGCTTAATGGCTAGTTTTTTAATGGATTTAGTTTCTGTAACTAAGGGATTAAAATATGTCAATTCGTATGGATAAAATGTGTTCGGCTACATAATATAATTTAAGTTAGATCGAAGAACTATTTCAGTTGCATTGTATCTTTCAATAATGTCGTAGGTATTTTATTTAATAACACGATAATAACTAAAAACTAATAAGAATAAAAATCGTATGCTGTTTTAACGGTTCAACCACATTATTAAGAAAAGCAATATATTTTTAATTTATTTAAGTTTATTTTTTAAGGCAAAAAATAGGCAAATACTTACTGTGTCTAATAAATCGATTACTTTGGATAGGAAAAAAAACCATGACCCTTTGTTTAACTGAAACAAATTAAAAACAATTTATTTAAGTTCTATAAAAACAAATATATAAAATGCATTAACCTGTAGGAATATAAGGATTTAAATTTTTCAGTTTGATTTTATTTACCTCATGTATAAGAAATTGATTGAGATTTCGTGGAAGTGGATGGCATAAATGATTCAAGTGGTAGTCCACTGCTCCAGGCGTGAAAAAAAACTAAAATGGGAATAAAGTAATACAAGAATATTTATTCGTAGTATAGGTATTTATATATATATACTGGTGTATCTATAAAGATTAGCTTATAATATATTTTAGATTTTAATGCAGTACCTACTCAACTTCATAAGAATCATAACAACTCCTCGTAAGTAATAAAAGAGTTGCTGATTTTTTAATAAATAAATATATTTGTATTTTGTATACATCATAACGACGGTTTTTAAGTTCTATTGAAAAAGAAATATTTTCAAAACTGGTTTTGGTAATATTTCCCGACGTTTTGCACGTCACATGGGTATTATATTATACGTGAACTTACAACTAACGGATACTTTTAAAATATATTTATGATCATAATAATTTATTAAGGAGTCATATTATGAATGTTTTAACACTTAGTATGGTATAGTATAGTAAATTAACAAAAAATCAACTCACCCAGCATACAAGCCAACCATTATAAATAGTTTGTATAGCATTATACAAAAGCATCACATATTTGATATTAAACGGTTTCCGGTTTTCCATCATATTTGGGCCGAGCTTCAATACGAAGAATAAGTACATAGATAGTATTGAAAGTACTGGCCATGGTGAACTCATAAGCGGCCACGAGTCGACCACTTCATCTATAATAATATTATATCATTATTAATCATAATAGTTTAAGAGTAGGTAGGTGCGTAATTATATTTATTAATGATTGTTCAACTCGTAAACGAGTAACTGAATACGTGAGTACCTGCGTACACATAATGCATTCTCGAGGGTAGGAAAAAATATGACAATCGACGATTGGTAATAATACCTTATAGTACAAAAATGTATAAATGATTAAATAATTAATTAATACTTGAATACTTGCCAAAAACTAGCTCCTTTTCAAATAATTTTAATAATTGATCCTGTGTTTCAGCCATGAAAATATTCAATTTAGCTTGCGTCAAATTCGCCATGGTGTTTTCTCTTGATGTGTTCTCCTAAGATTATACAAAAAAAATATCCATTGAAATAGTTAAAATAATAATAATGATAATGATGATAATAATTTAGATTTAATACAATATGGGGATTATATCATGCGATATATGAATCTATACTGTTTAGTCTCCGTCTAAATCCTTTCATAATTTGTATGATTTTAAATATAAATGATAAAAGATGGTATTGTTTTTAAATGTTTTTTGTTTGTTCTCTGTAGTATACTCAAAAACTATAAAACCGTTTTCATTAAAAGTTATATGAACAGATTCCTTGAAACTTGGAGGGTATTTATATCTTATTTTTTTGAAGTGAAACTTCAAGAGCAGAGGGTACGAAAAAAAAAGATTACGACATACACAATAGGTAGTGTGATGGTCAATACCACGAGCAATTAACCACGATGTTTCGATTCCGGTCGAGGGAACCGGCTTATTTGCATTTTTTTTTTTTCAGAAAAAAGTTTCACTTCATCTGTGCGTACTAACAAAGTCATAACAGGCACCTTTTTTACCCTATAGGTAGCAACCTACATGGTGGACCTCACATGAAATTAGTTTTGGCTCACGAAAATTTAATACGTTACTCTTTATTTAAATAGTTGTCCTTGCTTACATATTATTTTACTATTATAATTAGTTTCATAATTTATGTGGCATCTGAAATGTATTACAAATATATTTAAAAAAAAAATAAATGTTAAAATCAAATACCTATGAATACAATAATTACAATGATTGCTTTAATGATTTATAATCATGATCAAATTTCTTAATTCTGGAAATATTTTTGTGTTAACATATGAAGACGAATAATAATAATAACGATATTGGATTTACGTCAACTTTTAAGCATTCGTAGAATCTGTCTCCATTTTTTGGTTTTTACATGAAAACTATGTCCAGGATTAAAAAGTGAAAAATAATAAAATTAATCATTCAAATTGTGTTTGTATTGTATATTTAAACTGAAGCAAAACGGAAAACAATAGAAAGATAGAAAATTTTAATCCAGTTAGGTCAGGTAATACAGCTATAATAATGTAATACCTACTATAGTATTCTATAGGGTGTATAATACTGTATATATTATGCTGTCTACAAAAATTTAATGGAAGATGAAACACTTGCATTATTTAACTCTCGATATCAATATTGTTGACTTATATTTGCTTTTATTTTTAAATGTAAGTTATGAATATGATATAAATTGTAAATTTATAGATAGTTAACTATTATACAATCCATGTTTTTCGGTGAAAATTTTTCTATTTTTCTAATTATTAAGGTTAAGAAAATAATGATGTTATAATTTTGTTGTTGTCTGTAAATACTTTCGTCTTTTAATGTTAATATAAGTGTCTTTTAATTTTACTGAAACATTGACAGGTAACTTGATTTTGTGTCCTTATTCGTGTCTCATATTTTAAAAAACTGTCTTATAAAGAAAAAAATATAGTAAATGATTAAATATAATCCTTTCTATTGATTTATATTAAATGGGAGACATTATTATATTACATTTTTAAAACAAAAATAATCTGAAGGTTTTATTAACCTGACGAATAGTAGATTTCAAGTGCAGCTCATTATTGAGTACCTAGGTCACTGTAATGGATGTGTTAAATTTGAATAAAGTGATAAATTATTGATTACAAACACAATTCTCAGCAAACAAGGTCTGTTTCCTATATTTCTATAGACATTTTATAATATAGTATGTATGTACCTAAGTGTACCACTATAATATTATTTATTTTATTATGCATGGGAAATAATAAGAATATATACTGAGTGGAAAAAATTTTAACTTTAAGCTAAACTTCAATTTTTGATTTATGTATGAAAAACTTATGATGAATCTTGTAATTAATTTAAGTTATTAAATAGGTATACATCGAATCACAAATGAGTTTAAGAATTTAGTGTTTTTTACGAATATTATCAACATTTTAACTTGAAATTATTATAAAAACAATAATGACAATGGATATTTATAATTTATTTAATGTTGGTAAAACCTAATATATAATTTTGAATAATATAATCAAACAAAAAATAAAAAAATAGTACATTAAAAAATCAGGTAAAACGCTTTATTTACGCAACACCAGTTTGGACCTAATCGATGTTATTATTTTGTTGTGATTCTTATTGTAAACCTCATTAATTTCATATTCATCAGTACTTTGATTATTACTTTATATATTAAATTAATTTTTAAAATAATTGTTTAGTTAAAATACTTAAATAACTTATACAATTTAAGTAAATATTATTATAAATTATTATCACTTTAAATTTTTAAATACATAAATAAACCAAGCTCCACTGAAAATCGTTTTTAGAGTTTTCATCAAACAGTCATTGCTTTCAAATTAATATTTAAAACAATAACATACTAAAATGATTTTGTATCAAAGTTCATATTCAAACACTGTAATATCAAATATTAGATATTTAGAGTGTGATTTAAATAAATTCGTTTTGTTATTTTTTATTTACTCCAGAGGGAGTTTATAATTTATTGAATATTCAAATAGATGGTTGACTTATTAATGGATGATTATAAAAAGTTAATATGTGATTATTTATAATTATGAACGTACACATTATTATTGACAAAACAGCCAATATAGGTATATCATAAACTGTTAATTTCTTTAATAATTTCGTCCATAGGTACAGCATGTATAATGTAGAATAGTGATCGAATTAGTTATTTAAATTAGCATTGTAAAATTTTTAATCTTCCAACTTAAAAACTGTGTCACACGACTTTATTATTATGGTACATTTCTACCTGCCAGAGACCAGATGATTTGTAACAATTACATAATACATGACTCAACGACCAGATAAAAGCAACAGCATCGCAGATAGTCATGATTCACACTCATAAAATAATGCAACACAAACAAATCAGGTTCAGTGCACGGAGTTGTAATTTCTCACAATTGAAAATCGTACATTATTGTGTGGTCGCGGATAAATTTTTTTGTCATCGACCAGTATTAACTTTTGAATTCATGTCAAGGCGAATATGTACATAATATTTACTATACGGTTATCGAAAATATTCTTACTAAACAATTTGCGTCCGTCCTCGGTAGATGTCTTCGATCGCTTTCGTTCTGAATTACGGTGGCTTACAGAATACTATATCGTACGAGTTTTGAGACTGGGCTCGAATAAAACATGAACCAAGTGTGGTGCACTCACGACGACGATCGTATTATGGAAGTCTCCAGTCGACAACCGATCATGTTATAACTATTAAAGACGTTGTCTACAGCGATTATTGGTTGACGGACAGTGTTTACGAAACGAGCCGGTGATTATGCTAATTGCAATGCAATATGAAGTTTGACCGATAAACAAATAACGAATTTTGTGTGATTTCCGATCGAGAAAGTTGTACATCAGCCGGGCGGCAGGCGGTGCGTATATGTATATAATAATGGTACGTCTGTTGATGGCCTATCTGATAGGTGACGATGTTGCAGTGTCATACGCGAATGGTTTTCCCAACAAGAGCAAAAATGACTATGCCCTGAGTATCAAAATATTAGATGATAATAGATTCGAGACTAATGTATATTGTTTATTGAGAAATGATAATGGTAATTTCAGGTAAAAATATTAGTCTGTACCTTTACGTACGCGCGCAAAAATGAAAATAATTGCACGGTATTTAATTGTTTTCATTGTTTTTTTGTCAATATAAATGAAATTACATATATATATATATTGCATTAAATTTTATTATTCGTTATGATTGATTGTATTAATTCGTTGAATTAATGTATAGTAAATAGTAATATATAATATTTTTCGTTACGATCCCTCGAATGAATTCGTAGAATTCATTGCCTACGACAATATCAATCATGGATTAAAATTATAGATGCAAACCACAAGTCTCATCAAATGGTGATCATAAATGATGCGAGGTAAAGATTAAAACGAATATTCATCATGTTTTTATCACTGGAAATTTATTTTGAAAAAGTCACTGCAATCGGGCGTGTGCCTCATCATTTAATTTGAAAATTATGATTATGATATAAAACGATTTTTGTGTAAAGTAATAACAGTTTGTTTTTCCTAATTTTACAAAAAAAAAAAAAATTTCAAATTTAATAATGTTGGTTCTGAATATTTTAAAAGTATAGCAAATGTGTCAAGTGCAATGAAATAGTATATTATAATTGTTTAACATGTAATATTTCAGACCCCAGCCATTTATTGATTCCGGGTATTAGTTAAAACAATATGGAAAAAATTGTATACAAATTACATTTGTATATAGTACTATATATATACTTGTAATGCTATTTACAAGTTATTTTTTTACAAAAAATTCTTTGATTTACTTGTACGTTATAATATAATAATGATTATTTATTAATATGCATTTTTAACTTTTTAAAGCTCAAATCGTCATACATTTAAAATAAATCGTATAAATTAAATTCCAGTTAAAAAAAAAATTAGAAATCGATGCACATACAAAGTTATGTAAATTTTGAAGCAATACTTAAATAAAACTTTCAAAATAAGCAATAAAAAAAAACCAAACCCTCAAGGTGTAAGTGAATTACTTATCTTGCATCAGATAGCTTTATATATTACTATTCACTTATGGCCCGCATCACCGAACATCACAAGAAAAATAGGAATTTCCATTAATTGAATGCGAATCGAACACACTTCGATCATCTTCCAGTAACTTATGAAGATCGAAGACCCCCCCCCCCCCCATATGCTCCAGTTGTGACATATCCTTCACAATCAAACACATCATAATATCTGAATGCTTGACATTCGAAACGGAGAGACGAGACTGGAATAATATCCAACATTCTATCAGAGGCCCTTCACCCGGACAACTTTAAATACCCGATATTACGATAACCTTTATTATGAAGTCTAATTTAATAAATCAACTGTGATTTTTATAATATATACTCAATGCAATTTAAGATTAAGTGTTAACG